GCTGCGCAAGGGGAAGACTGTGGTGTAACGCGAGTAGTCGTCAACCACCAGCAGGAAGTAGCGCTCGTGACCCTGTCCACGGACGCGGGCCGGGCCCCACACGTCCATGTGAAGCGTCTGCAGCGGGGCCTCTGTCGGAGGAAACTGGGAGGAGTGAGGGGCAGCCCGCTGCCGCCCCTCGACACAGGGGACGCAGGTAGGGCCAGGCCCCGGAGGAAGGGGAGGGAGGGACCGGGGAAGACCAGAGACAAGGACACGGGAGGCCATGCCTCGGAGACGAAGCAGGGAGGGGTGACCAAGGCGGTGGTGCCAGAGGAGAGTCTCGTGAGACAGGAGGCGACACGAACAGGTGGCAGACTCAGGACCAGACCTGGACGCTGCAGCAAACACCTGACCCGACGCAGCTACCTGACCAGACGCAGTGACTGGAGGAGACTCAGTGGTCAGGGTGTACAGGCTCGACCCCGGCCGACGGGTAAACGTGGCCAGGTGTCGGCCTGTCCGAGCGTCCGTGCAGTGGGTCACCCGCTGACTCGCAGGAGTGAACTGGTGAACCCCCGCATCCTGTAGGTCAGCACCACTCACCAAGTTCGTAGAGAACGAGGGAAGGTAAAGACCAGACAGGGTGCCAGAGGGGGCCGCCGGACACGGGAGGACAGTGGAGAAGTGAGCAAGGACAGGACCCCCAGAGGGGTCTGCCAGAGAGACTGCAACTGGCCGGCCAAGCGGCGTGAGTGTGGTGCGGTCTCGAAAGAAGGAGCGAGAAGCCCCCGAGTCAAGGGTGAAGGTGTGGGAGGCCGAAGCCGACGCAGAACCTGAGAGAGCAGACTCACCAGCACCTGAGGGAGCAGACGCACCTAGAGCAGCAGCCTCGCTAGAACCTAGAGCAGCAGCCTCACCAGTACCTAGAGCAGCAGTCTCAATGCCCGGGTCGGGCGGAAAACACCGGTAACAGTCACCCTCATCACTAATAGTCACAGTATACATGGCAGCAAGAATAGCATCAAAGTCAAGGTCAAAGACAGCTACACCCGCCCTAGACAGCTCACCCCAGCGGGGGATCTCAGTGGCCTCAGGGAACTGGTGACGCCAAGCGTCCGTCAGGCGGCCAAAGCAGCGCTGGGTGGAGTGCGCACCCCCGCACTGCTCACCCGCGCGGTCGCCGGTGCGTAGGACGTAGGTGCACGGGCCAGTACCCCCACCCCTCTGGCGTGCAGTGTACCACTCACGGAGCTGCTGAGGGGAGGGGATGTCACGAGTGCGCTGCTGCTGCTGCTGCTGCTGGCGCTGACCACCACCGGAGCCGCCCCTCTGTGCAGCGCCACCCCGACCAGCTCCACCTCCTCCGCCGCCTCCTCCTCCACCGCCTCCACCTCCGCTCCCACCGCCACCGCCACCGCCGCCTCCGCCTCCACTGCCGCCACCGACACCTCCGCCCCCGCCACCACTCCCACCACCACCCCCACCCCCTCCACCGCCTCCACCGCCGCCTCCACCGCCCCCGCTAGCTCCTCCAGTGCCCCTGCCCCCCTTGCCCTTGCCAGGGCGACGTCTCCCGCTAGGGGTAGACGCCGCACCGACCGACTCAAGCCCAACGAGGTCGGCCGCAGCAGCAGAGGCAACAGAGGGCAAAAGGGGGGAGGGGGAACACCCCTCAAAGATGGGGGTGCGAGGGTCACCACGAGAGGCTCCTACAGCGACTATGCTCTTCTCTACTGCTAGGAGGGACTTCTCGAGGAGGTCAACGGTAAAAGTGGTGGGGCAAACGGAGAGGAAGTGGTCCCTGACTACGCGAAGGGAGTCAGGGAGCCGGGTGACTATGTAGTAGAGGGTGATGTACATGGGGGGGGGGTTCTTGGCGCAGAACTCAGCAGGAAGCGCAGCGCGGTAGCGAGTGTCACTAGTGCGGAGGTGCGTAATGAGGTCAGCGACTGTGGGAAAGGCAGCAAGGTCAGGGAAGAGGTACGGTAGCATGAGGCGGCTCAGTGCAGCAGTGGCAGGGGAGGAGTAGCGCGCAACTACAGCGTCGTACAAGGTCTGAGCACTCTTGTACTGGCTAAAGTGCGCACGCTCAGAGGTAGGCAGGTGGCGACGCACAGCAAGACGTGCAGCAGCATCGCGAGTGGCCCACTGTGAGCGAACAGTGGCGTCGGCATCAGCAGCAGGGGCAGGAGAGGCACCAGAGGTGAGGTCAAAGAGGGAGAGACCGTCTGCCCTATCGCACTGTAGGAAAAGCTGCAGGTCATCTACCCAGACGTCAAAGTCAATGGCCCGACCCTCAGCGTCAAAGGCGAGGACACTAGGGGTAGCCATGACAGCAGTACACTAGCAGCGCGAACAATAGGGTGAGGGCAGTGCAGGTACAGAGGCGCTGCACTTACCGGACAGGGCGACTCGGGTGGCTCAGCGGCTCGGCGGCTCGGCAACTCGGCGGCTCGGGCGGCTCGGGCGGCTCGGCAGCAAGCGCGGCTCGGCGACACGGCGGCTCGGGCGGCTCGGGCGGTACGACGGCTCGGGCGGTACGGCGGCTCGGCGGTACGGGCGGCTCAGGTGGCGCGGCGAGGCCGCGTGGGGAGCGGCGGCGGGGCCGAGTGGAGCGGCGTCGGCGGGTGCAGTCAGCTGCGGCAGCAGCCGCGGCCCCGAGGGAGGTGGTGGCGGCTGCTGCTGGCAACGGCTGCGGCTGCTGCTGCAGGGACGGCGGCGGCCGCTGCGGTAGGGGCGGCGACAGTGGGCCGGAAGGGGCCGCGGGAGGGGCCGTAAGGGGCGTAAGGGGCCGCGCGAGGGGCCGGAAGGGACGGCGCGAGGGGCCGCGACGCGAGGAGCCGCGGAGGGCGGCGACGGGCCGTGAAGGGGCGGCGCGAGGGGCCGCGGAGGGCAGCGACGGGCCGTGAAGGGGCGGCGCGAGGGGCCGCGGAAGGGGCCGTAAGGGGCGGCGCGAGGGGCCGTAAGGGGCCGTAAGGGGCCGCTGAGGGCGGTGCGAGGGGCCGACGGGCGGCGCGAGGGGCCGTAAGGGGCCGTAAGGGGTCGCGCGAGGGGCCGTAAGGGGCCGTAAGGGGCCGACGGGCGGCACGAGAGGCCGTAAGGGGCCGTAAGGGGCCGCGCTAGGGGCCTTAAGGGGCCGTAAGGGGCCGCGCTAGGGGCCGTAAGGGACGGCGCGAGGGGCCGTAAGGGGCCGCTAAGGGCGACGCGAGGGGCCGTGAGGGGTCGTGAGAGGGCGCGACTGTGGGAGCGAAGCGCGCTCCGGGCAGGAAAAAAAAAATCATGGTGGGCCCTAGGAAGCGTTCCCACTAGGGAACCTGCTCGATACCATGAGAAGAAACAAGAAGTGATGAACTATGAATGAATTGGGTACAAGTACTAACCCTAATTAGGTTGTACCCCTTATGGGCTACCCCACTATAGCCTACACAATATGCATGAGCTATAATGTTCTGACACGAAGTTGCAAGCTACGGAATAGTCCTCCAGTGCTTCGTACAAAAATTGCTTAGACGAGTAAAGTTGACCTTCACACAACGGTGCTCGATCATCTATGACGATTTGTGGCGAGGGAGCCTCGTCGGCGACCATTTCTCGGAGCAACGCACGGTACATATCGCTTTGCTTCGGCTCTCCAGTTCCAACGAAGCAAAACTCTGTGTCATCATCGCCTGAGTCGGACTCTCTGTTAGAAGTATATGACGTCGAACTCATTGCGGCAAATAGGAACGTTCTAACCGTAGGCCCTCCTAGATGAACCTACTGTAAGGACCTAACTGGTCTAATAAAAGGCTAAGGTAGATGTCAACCCTAAAACGACGAGAAGAAATGGTGTGAGCGATCTCTAGCATATGGGTCAAATGGTAAAGCGCGGGAAGATGGAAAGGGCGTACCAAACCAGATTGAGCGCCTTAATACGAGCCTAATTGGCCAGAGTTTAACTCTTGTGCGAGTGTTTTTAGTATATGATTGGCGGGATCATATAGGAAATTGTGTATAAATGAACGCGTTCAAATATGATCGCCAAACCTTAAAGATTGCGCTTGATTGGACGCGCAGTGGCCACAATAGCACCGCGCATAAATCTTGACCAATCATGCGCGGTCGTTATTGCTGTGACGGATCGTTTCGGGTCAATAGAAGTATATGATCGCGGTGCAATATGCTCTATCGCTGATTGGTTTGGAATTTGGTCGTGCATTAGCTCGAAATTGGTTGCGCAAACAATATTGTTCGGAATATTTGTCGGGTTCGAGCCCGCCACCCTGGCGAAAATTTCGGGTGGTCAATGGTTATGTACACTTATGCGGGATAACCCTCGCACGAATGGGGAATTTCGGGGCTACAAAGCCCCGTAGGGTAATGCGCCGAAGAAAAAAAAGCCAGGAAGAATCCCCTGGCGTGGCCACTCGAGTCATTATCACCAAATTTGGTGGCCACTCGAGTAATTCGTAGCCACGCGAGGGATGGTGAATCACCTTATTGGCCACTGGAGTCATTCTCTCGACACTTTCTCCAGATAAGCTGCCCAGCTTCGAGGGGTGCCAAACCAGGCCTGGCTAGCCCGAGCCATCAGTGTGACCCTTGCAAACCAGCCTTCCTTCGTCAAACCGACTCTCCACTGGGGTCAGTCAGGAGGCGCCGTGAAGCTCGGAGAAGCGGTTTGTTGACAAAGCAGAACGACGGGCAGACCAGAGCAAAACCGCTAGCGTCACCCCGAATCGCATATCTCCGAACCATGCCGAGCCGCAAATTCACTCCAAACCCCGAGGCAAAAGTGATCGCACCGCCTCCGTGAATGCAGGTCCCATGTCAATCAAGATTTACAGCACGCTCCCCCCCACACTCTCCTCCTCGCCAGCTCATTTGATAAACACCCCTCGCATGAACATAAATTCCTTCCCATCCATTCCAGCCTTCGTTTTGCCCGGCACCTTTCACTCCTGCGGAGCAGCACATTTAGCATCTTCTCCCAGGGTTCAATTTTCAATCCTGATTGTCCACCGATGGTTCCCATCATCATGGCCCCATCCTGGAGCTCCGTCGTGGAACAGATTGCCGTAGTTACCCAATACGAACAGCAGCAGGACGACAAGCTTCAATCCAGCCAGCTTCACAATGAGCCCGTTCTGATTCCAAGCCACGACCACACACAGCATGCGCATAACCCCGCGCCCCCTATCGGCCGCAAGGCGCGTCCCGCCGTTTTGCTGATTCCCGCAGTCCTTCCTCCGCCAGCCTCCCCTCTTCCGCTTCCGCCGGCCCATCACCGGCGCCCCGACCAATTACAGGCGCGCGCGCAACAGCTGCAGGGGGAGCCGCATGCGCGCCAGGGGGGTCCGCACAGGCGCGCGCGCCAGCTCAAGATCTGGGATCTGCAACCCGAGCTCCCGCCGGCCCCTCATTTGCGCCATGACCGCGCGCTTGAGCGCGAGTTCGCGCAGCAACTCCGCAATCTCCCGCCGGAGCTGCCGCCCGCCTCCCAACCGGACTCGGGACTGCCCGAGGCGCCTCCTAGTGATGGCGCGTGCGGGGGCAGCGCGCCCGGGCGAAGCGGCTTGTGCTCCCCGGTTAACGGCGGGGTATGCGGCACCGCCCATTGCGCTCGCTGTGACTGGCTCAGTCGGCCGAAACGATGGCCGTCCATCGGCTTCCCCGTGCGGCGAACCGCGCAACTTGCGCAGCAGCCTGCTGAGGTGGAACGGGTGGCGCATCCTGCGCGGCGGATCGACGAGCCTGCGCCCTTCCGCGCGGGGACCGAAGAGTTTCCGCCGCCCCCGTGCGCCTTCACCTCTACTCCCGCGGATCTCCCTCTCGAAACGCCCCGCGCTTGCCGAGGCATGGCCGAACCATGGGGCGGATCGGCGGAGCTGGTGCAGGCCTTGGGCCGCGGAGGGCTGGCGGAATCGGGTGCGGCCCTGGGGGGGGGTTGGCGGAAGCTTCCTGCGCCTGGGTGGTACCGGCGGCGGGATTGGGGGATCGTGAGTGCGCGGAATGCAATCCGCGGAGTGTCTGTGCGCCCATCATCCGGAGCTGTGGCTCCGCTTCCGGTTTCCCCAACAACTCAGCGTGCTCCCCCAATGGCGAGCCATGCTCCTACCGACGTCCCTGCTGTGCCCGAACGGAGTGGCAACGAATGTGCAGCAGTTGAAGCGGACCCGCGCAACAAATCCCACCGCGCCACGTGTCTCCCCATCAGTGGCGAAGCCATCCAGACCCACGTGGCGTCCTTCTGGCTGAATGTGCTGGAACATTTGGAGTTTCTGGGGGAGGTGTCATCTGCGTTCCTGGGGGAGGCTGTACCTGGAGGACGAAACAGGCGGGAACTGGGGGAGGAGTGGAGCGGAACTCAGGCAGGAAGCAGCATTAGCGGGCAGCCTTATAGCCGTGAGCGTGAGCAAACCATAGGGGCAGCAGCAGCAGCACTAGTGATGGGGGGAAGTGATGGTGAGAGATTGTGCAATGCGGTTGTGTATGGGCAAAAGGGGGAGGCTACTGCTGCCATGCAAGCTCGCCTACTGTCTGACCCTACCATTCTTTCACCAGACATGCGCTGCCGTGATTTCAGTGGTTTCAACATCGGTGACCTTACCATGAGTGGCCCTGTTGGTGCCGCCTTGTGTGGCACTACTACACTTATAAGTCTGAAAGATCTCGCATCTCCTCCCTTGACTTCCCTGCAGCCTCTCCCCATGGCGTCCTCCTTCCACCTGGGGGAGGTGTTATCTGCAGTGCCTCCTGGTCAAGGCACCACTGCTAAGAACCGCACTGAACCGGGCCGACCGTACCTGCGTGTCCGATCCACCCTATCAGGCCAGTCAAGCGACATTGACACGTGTCGCAAGGGGACTGGCCACAGCCCTGCATCCATTCTGGACTCACCTGTTCCTTCTGATGACTCTGGCTGTGACTCTCGCCCTGAGCTAATGTGGGGCCAGCCCACACTCCTACTTGGGTACTAAACAGCTTACTTATCGATTCAATTGTAGGGTAACTCCTTGTTAACGATCATAGGGTAATGTACTCTGTTGAAGACCAAACAATGACTGTTCATGCCAGTCAATATTTACTACTGTACTTGCTTGACTGCGGTAGTTCAGGCTGATACTACCAAGTACGGTATATCATAAGAGACTGTTTGTGCTTCTTGTGCTGTACATGGTGTTGCTGCAGTGCAGATGCTGTAAATGATTGGTACGGGTCAGTACACTAGAAATGTGGGGTGTGTGTGGAGCAGGCCTGTCGAAGTTCCTGGGACCCATACTTGCGCTCCCCAGCTCCTCCCCATCTGACCCTGTTTTTGGTGTAGCTGAGCGTTTGGGCGCCCTTAACGGTCACGGGCGCACCCCAAAGTGAAAAGTTAAAATCCGGGCCTGTGAAGAGTTTGCACTTAGACGCGAAGGGAAATTTTGGGTGCTCTAAAGCTGACTTTCAAACACGGGATGGCTAGAAAACGCTAAGGGAAAAATCCACTCCTCTCGTGCAACCTAAGGAGAAAGGGGGGGGGGGGGGGCACTTAAAGACGCTAAGGGAAAATTCGGGTGCTCCAAGCTGACTTAGGGTACATTCCTGCGGGGACACTTGTGTCTCAATCACTTTGTGACATCTAAAAACAGCATATACCGTGCCCTGTCACAAAAGCGGATCGCGCTTATGCGAGTCCCACTGTATTTTACATTGGTTGGCGTGAATTGCGCTTGTGTCGCGGACGAGTTACACGAGGCCCCGTCACATCCCGAAAATCGCACGCGTGTCGAAATCTCACACTGTACAGCATGCACCTGGACGCCCGAACTGGGCACGTTTCCGCGCGGGGATGGAAACCGCTCTGCCCGGGCTGACATATGACTGGTCCTTCAGCACACACGGTCACATCCCTGCCCGAATGTTTGCCCATCGTTCCAACCACACTGACAGCACTCTCCCGCTCCAATCTGTTCTTCTTCTCCCAACCCGAGCTTCCTCTTTCTTGTTGCGAAGTCTAGCCAGGGTCTTCTTTGGCACGCTGTAGCCATGGCCCGTAAGCGCAAGAGCGTAGCTAGTTCTGTTGACTTGTGCCCGCGGGATCTCGACGAGATCCCGTACATCGCTTGGATGAACAAACAAATCGCGGCCGGCCGCAAGCCCGCCGGCCCTTTGCCCGAAGGAGCGCCTGGTGCGGGGGACACCTCGTTCGAAGCCCCGCGCGATGTCCCTACCCGCGGACGCCGTCATGCCGACCGGGTTGCCTCATCCCGCGTCAACGACGATGCTGCCTTCGATGACGATGATGACGCCGCGGACTTTGATTACAACGAGTGCGACGAGGCCTGCGAAGACGACGCGGACTCTGGCGAAGAGCAGGACAAGGGCATGTCCCCCTCCGAGGATGAAGTTGACGCCGACGAGGACGCCGATGACGACGAGGACGCTCCCGAAGAGGCCCAGCCTGCGTCCCCGGCTCCTTGTCGCGGCCGTGCGTCTGCCGCTGCGGGAACCAAGACTGCTGCTAAGGGCGGGGAACCTCCGCGTGCCGCTGCCAAGACCCGTAACTTGCATCCTGTTAAGCGGAGCGTGTGGTCCCCCCGCGAGAACACAATCTTCGTGGCTGCGCGTTGGTTCATGAAGGACGAGCTCGGGCCCCTCCTCGGGAAGCAGGGCTCTCAGTACTGGGCCCGCCTCGCGCGTCACCTCGAGAAGGAGAATCCCGGTTGGGTGCGCGGTGTAAACGCGCTTCAGAAGCAGTGGCGCAATCTTTTGAACATGTACAAGCAGATCAAGAAGGGGGAAAAGGCGAGCGGCAAGGGTGCCGTGTGCAAGCCCCACTGGTACCCGTACATGGCGCTTTTCCAGAACAACAAGGCGGTGGGCAACCCTCACGCCGTCGACGGTGGCGGTGCGGCACACGTCAACGTGCCGTGCGGGTACGCGGTCCCGTCCACTTCGGCGCCCTGCACCTCTACGCCGACATTCACTGGTATGTATGTGTTGCATCAACGGTGGCACTCGCGGGTTTGTTGAATGACACATTTTGTGACAACATTTTACGCACACATTACATCATTAAAATGTTTAGGGTACATAACACCTCGTCTACTGTTCGTGTGCATCCACCGTGTGTGCAGCTCCGCCGCCACAGGGAACTCCTACATCGAAGCGCCCACGTGTGGCAGAGACGGCGACGATGGCCGCTGCAAAGCTGGTGTGCGAGACGATCAAAGGCTGCCACTCAGACGCCATGAGCAGGCTCGAAGGCCTCGTCCGCGCGTGGATGGATCAGGACGCGCGTATTGCTCGGGAACGCGTGCAGCAGCCCGCACCCTCCCCGCATGTCCGCGACGACATCCCTGCCCACGCGGACAACATGACCGACTCGCACGCCGCCGAAGGCGGCGACGACGGCTGGCTTCGTCGCGGGCAGGCGGGCGAAGACCCCTCTAACCCAGATGCGGGTGAGGAGGTGTGGGTCCGCGGCGCCGCCGAGTGAGGTAAGACGACTCCAGAGCCTCGCCCAGCCGCTTGCGCCTTTCACGAAGATTCTCTTGCGTGCATGGGTCACATGGCTCCCACATGAACTCTGCTACCGCGCCACGAGTCCACCATGGGTCCCGGTTTCGGGGCAAGTTTGCCCACGATGCATTGACGCGCCTTACTGCGCCCATCATTTCGCACATGTTGTGCAGGATGACGCCACAAGACGCCCCTGCAATAATGCGCCAGAGCTTGCAGTCATTGCGGCCCGCGAATAGACGCCACCGACCTTTGAAGGCGCCGATGCAGCGCTCTACTGCCATGCGCGTTGCGCTTTGGCAATAGTTAAAGCACTGCTCCCAGTCCTCCATTAGGCCTTCACGGGGAGCATGTAGGGGGGTCAGGCAGAAGTCTCTGAGTGGGTAGGCAGCATCTCCCACTATTTGGTATGGCGCTATGTCGCCGTTGTACAACCTTTCGTGTAACGCGCTGTTCATGAACACTCTCTGATCGTGCGCACTGCCCGGGTATCCGATCAAATAGTCCCATATGATGCCTCGCGCGTCGCATGTGATCTGCAACTGGACGGCGTAACAGGACTTCCGCGTGTAGTACTCTTGCCTGTGCCCCTCCATCCCCTTCATGGGTATGTGTGTGCCGTCTATAGCCCCCACTACCGCAGGTACCCCCTTGATGGCGCGGAACTCTGCGGCCATCTCGTCGAGGTCGTCGCGGGTCGGGAAGTGGACCCACTGCTGCTTGAAGACGGACGGGAAATGCATGAGGAGCGCGTCAACAAGCATGTGGCACAGGGTCTTGGACAGCCCGAACACGGAGGACAAGTCTACGAAAGACATGCCACTTGCGAGGTATTTGATAGGTACAAGGCATGCCACTTCATGACTGATTAGGTACTTGTCCACGTACGGTTGCATGTAGTGCGTCATCCCGGCGACAATGTATTCGAGAATGCCACGGTTTATGCGAAACATATCTCTGAACTGATCCTCCCCCATGCCGTCCAGGTCCTCTAGCAGCAACTGGTATCTCCGCCGGCGTAGCCCAGCCCTTCGTTTCCGCTCTGCGGTACGGTTGGAGGCGCGAGAGCTGGATGACGAGGACACCTCGTCATTGAAGACGTTCGCCTCCAGCAAGCCACCGACCGACTTGGCGATGGCGTCCATGAATATGCTGTAGTAGAACGTAACCCATGCGACAAGTAGGCGCATGAGGAATGGCACCTCGCGGGGCGATGCCATGGTTGCTAGACAGTGGTGCAGTTTAGCTCTGTGATGCTTGCGTTCTTGTACTTGGAGCCGTGGTTGTATACATGCTGTTGTGTGTGGGGTGGCCCAAATTGCAACTTTCATTTCTGTGGCAAGCCCACCGCGATACTCGAGGTGGTGCGATATGTTTAGCCCCCCTGCCCGGCGGGAAAACTGGGTGGGCACAATCCTATTGGTCGCAACCAATAGTACGCACCCACCTGGCTGTGCCCATCTGTCGCGCAGGGTCGCGATACATTGGTTGTTTGTGACACAACATTTGGCAAATTTACAGGCGCGACTCGGGAAAACGGGGATTGAGACACAAGTGTCCCCACAGGAATGTACCCTTAGACACTTTACTAACGCAGGATGGCTAGAAAATGTTAAGGGAAAAATCCACTCCTCTCGTGCAACCTAAGGAGAAATGGGGGGGGCGGGGGGGGACACTCAGACGCTAAGGGGAAATTCGGGTGCTCCAAGCTGGCTTAGAAAACGCTAAGGGAAAATCCACTCCTCTCGTGCAACCTAAGGAGAAAGGGGGTGGGGTCAGGCAGAATTTGGGGGGGTGGTGGGTCCTACAACCAGAAACCAAAACTTCGAGACAGGGGAAGGCCTGGTTTGGGCCCTTAACGCATCCGGGGAAGGGTCGAGCGCGGCACTTAGTGGCACGGGTGCAGTGCGAATCTAACACTTTTGGCAGTCGAGCTGGAGCGAAAGTAGCCCGGAATGTTCAGGGCATTAAGGGCATATGCCCTTGAATCGACAGGCCTGGTGTGGAGTAACAGAAGTTTCATTAGACGTTCACATGCACATGCTACATGCAACACACATTACCAGCAACTCAAAACATGGGGTCCTGATTAGGGAATGAGGGTTGGCATATCAACACGAGGTGACTGTTTATGCCGAACCCTCATGCCCTAATCAAACCCTTGTGCCCTACAATCCAGTCCGCCTAACTAAAGCCCTTCAAACAGGCCAAGTCCTACGAAGGTCAAGTCCTACGAAGGCCAAGTCCTACGAAGGTCAAGTCCTACGAAGGCCAAGTCCTACGAAGGCCAAGTCCTACGAAGGCCAAGTCCTACGAAGGCCAAGTCCTACGAAGGCCAAGTCCTACGAAGGCCAAGTCCTACGAAGGCCAAGTCCTACGAATATTTCCTCGCAACTCCTCCATCTAGTTGTGAAACCTCCTGGTCTGGCTGGGTTGGGGGGAGACACAGCAGGCGTTGCCATATCTGCCAACCACAGCCGCAAGATCTGCCATACTGAATGCAGGCCATGTCGACCGAGCGAGCAGCTGCCAGCGATTATTAGCGTGTTGGAGGCATGAATGCAGGCCATGTCGGCCTCACCAGCGTGTGATCATCACGGCTTTTATTAATTGGCTTTCAGCATCCTCCTCCTCTGCTTCTTCTTCCTCCTCCCCTCCTCTCAGCCCTCCTCCTTCTCCTCCTCATCCTCATCATCAAAATCGAAGCCGATGTATTCCAACACGCCTGCAGGGCTCCCAAACCGTCCCGACCCAGCCTTCCCCTGCTGCCCCGCATTCCCACCCTCACCCTCTCCCGCCTCCTGCTCTTCCTCCTCCTCCTCGGATATCAACCGCCAAAGCCATGACGACTTAGATGGCTTATCAGAGGAAGCATCGGAGAAGATGCCAAGGACGGCCGTCAGGAGTTCGTTCAGGTCAGCAGCACAGATAGGCGCTTCCCTGTATGCCCTAATCTGCCTTCTCCTCTGCTGCACTTTCTCCTGCTGCATTCCACGCGTCTCAGAAGCGTGCATCACTCGCCCCTGTAGCGCGATTCCCGCCGCTCGAGACGCGATTTCGGGAGCCTGGGGAGTCACAGCCCACCTGCGGGCCTCTGGCTCTTTATGCGATGCTTCGCTATAGGGAGCTGTCTTACCACCGTCTGCTGCTTCGGTACAAGCTACCCCGCCGCTGGCAAATCGAGCCGAGACGGACAAGCCTCCTCGCTTCTTATGCTCGTCACTCTTCCAGAGGTGTCCATTCCCTGTCGCTCCTTGAGCAGCATTAACCGCGTTGACATCGTTGACTTTGTCGGCTGATTCGACTGCAGCTTCGCGGAAGCTAGCTTGAAGGTTCCGCAGCACCTTCGGCACGCCAATGGCGTGAACCCCTTGTCGTGGACTGGTAACCCCATTCCAAGGCTTCGCCAAGATCTCGTTCTGGGGATTCGCAGTCTCCTTGAGAGCAGAACTGTCCTGGAGCCCTGTCTGGTTACCACACAGCGATCGGTTTCGCACGTGAAGCGCGTAACACTTGACAGAGCGATCGCTAGGGCGACGCGGAAAGCCAGGCGTCGGCTCGGGCCGAAAACAACTGCTGCTCTCTTCCGGCGCTTTCGGCGTCGGCAGCAGATCCCAGATCTTCGGCTGCCGCTGCCGGCGGGGCTGGCCGGCAGCGGGAGCGGCCGGATGGACGGCGACTGGCGCGCGGGGTTGGTGGAAAAGAGGGTGCGGCTTGGGGGTGAGGGGCGGGGGGGTGATTTCGGGGATTTGCAGCATTGGGGGGCGGGGTTTGCGGCCGAGGGTGGGGGCGGGATTGTGGAGCGCGGGAGTGAAAAATGGAGGAGGGACGTCGAGGAAGCTACATAAGTCTGACAGCGACATGACGACGGGCTGATTGCGTGCGTTTGGAATATCGAGAGTGTGAAAACGAGCTAAGTTGAAACACAAAACGAGTCAGAAAAGTACTTGGGGCTTCTCTAAAAAAATATGGTCCGGATGAGGAAGTTACACGGTTGAGGCACTGGAGCGCGTCAATAAAATCTTGCAAGCAATAGAACTCTGGAGAAGTGAGTGGGAGAGTGAGTGACAGGCGCACAAGAATGGCGGCGGCCTTTATCGTTGCTTCTTCCGTAATCGTGGCGAGGACGAGAGGTGAAAGTAAGTGCAAGAAACGGGGGAAACTGAGGTGGGTGGAGAAGGAGGTCGGGTCGGGTGTACTGTAGTGGGTCTGGGCTGGGGGGAGCGGAAGCACCAGGTCGGGCTGGCTGCAGAAATGGATTTTGATTGGTTGAAGTTTGGTTCGGCCCCGACTCCGAAGCAGCGCCTCTCCGTTTCGTCCGAAACAGACAAGAGATTCAACGCGGCGCGGTCCATGTCTCTGTCGTGGTAGTCGGTCAACGCGAAGGTGGCGCCTCGTGAGCCGAACTTTCGTTGCACTCCACGTTCCGAGCGGATGACTCTCCATTGAGACGAGGCTGTGCAGGGTGGTTTGGGGAGTCACCTAAGCATAAAGGCCGAGCCAAAACAGGCTTGGTGAGGAGGTGTGATCGCGATTAGGTAAGCTGAGACAGTTATCGAACCATGGCTGCCGAACCAAGAGGCGCGGTGGTGCACCGTACCGCAAGTTCTTCACCGTCCACATCGAGAAAGGCGGACTGCCCTCCAATTGCCCAACCTGTCGGTCACCGTCACAAGCGCCACCGCCATCGAACTCGTCACTATCGTAGCATTACCATTCACAGAGCTTCATCCAACAGAACACAAGTCATACATGCCTAGTAATATTTTAACACCATATATGGAGATAATATTATAGTCAGGGTACATTATAACGAACACGTTTTCTCTCTCCAAAGTTACAGTGCGCCTCGCCAACGCAACAAATCAGGCCTGTCCCACCTCTGACATGCTCCGAAATCTTCGAGGCGTATTCAGGAATGGTAAAACGCGACTTGATGTGTTGATGACGCTCTGTGATCAATTCTAGAACCCCACTTGATCTGTCGTCGTCCTCGCTTCGTAAAATCAAGGTAACTTCGGAAATCGTTTCCACCGAGATAAGCTTGTTCTAGCGTAGCTCATTGCCTCAAAAGCTCACGAACATTCGCAGGTCACACGTCTCCGATATATTTGCTACCGATGTTATGCTATGATTACTATCTACAAACATTACATCTAGGAGTCCCTGTGCACCATGGGAAGCCATAGAAAAGGCATCATCGGTTTTCACTTGTCCCTTCGCGCTGCGGCCCACTTACTCCTCCTGACAGCAGTTGCAGTCCTCGCGTTGCTTGGATGGACCTGCAAAAGTCGGGATCTCACTGTGTTGCTCTCTAATCTACTGATCCTCTCAAACGTCACGGCATCAGAGGAGATTAAAGCTGGATTTCCAGCTGGAAGAGGCGAGGAATCGCGAAGAGATTTCGCGGAGTCGTATCATGGCGAGGTTGTGTGCTGGTGGTCCGGGGATCACGGTGGCTATGACGGGAAGGAATCTTCTTGGTCTAACCAGATCTATGGTTCCGGCGATGATACTGTCGTACTTTCCACAACTGAAGCCAGTGCTGCCGCTCGTACTAGGAATTCAAGCGATGAAAACCGAGGCCGCGGCGGCGTGGTGATTTTCGGACCAGGATGTCGCAATTGCGTCGCTGGGCGACTGTGCACCTTCGAGATCGCCGTGCGACGGCCTGCGACGTGGACAGTGCCGCCAGGCATGGCGTTCAAGCACGAGCTGGCGGTGCAGCTGGAGGGACCGTCGCTCGTGCGAGCTGACGTCACAGCTGAGAGAGGCGACGTCAGCAGATGGCGGGTGGCATACCGCGTATGGGACGCTGGGTTATACAAGTGAGTGAGTGAGTGTGCTCCCCAGCCCCTACAGAAGTATATGTAAATAAGCCAACGTCCGTATAACAAACCTTTGACTGATCGTTTCCTTCCGTTCCCTTCACAACAGAGTGGTTGTTCGGTCCGGGTGCGGATCTTTGAACTATTCCGCTTCCTTCGCCCACGCGCATGAGCACGACATGGCGCAATGGACGCTCGCCGTCCGTCCCAGTGGCAAGCCCGTGACCACATTTACAACAGCCCGGCTTCAGCAAGAGCCTTCCTTCTCGATTTCTGAAAAATCAAGGGGGGACGCAGTGGCTGATGGAGCGTTGGGTTCGGCCTGTGACCATGGCGCCTCTCACGGCCGCTGGCTGTTGGATGTCAGCACTGGAAAGTACAGGTGAGAGCTGACGGTGCAAACATGACTCTACTGACGCCTTTGAAATCCTTGAATCCTGATTGCCAATGCACACCCCTGTTAACCCGTCACCCTCCTGCTGCCCTTTACCTCGCCAGGGTTGAGTCGACGCAAAAAAACTCACGTGATGTTCCTTCACTCCCCTTATTCCTCCACCTCATGCACCTCAGGTGGGTTGATTTTTGAGTCGACTCAAAAATCAAGTCGACTCAAAAATCAAGTCGACTCAAAAATCAAGTCGACTCAAAAATCAAGTCGACTCAAAAATCAAGTCGACTCAAAAATCAACTTGTTCCTTCACTCCCCTTATTCCTCCACCTCATGCACCTCAGGTGGGAGTTCTTCCCGTACGCCCCTCCCCTGCCTCCGCCGTCCCACTGGGTCTCCGCCTTGGCATCACGTGGCATAAGAGAGATCAACTTCGTGGGCGACTCACACCAACGCTTCCTCATGCTGCACCTTGCTTACCTCATAATGCATACCGTCAATGACTCGCACGTGGACTATCATGGGGATATCTCCATCTCTGTACCTGGCCCTGCCCCAGCCTATGATACAGCACCACGGGGAGATGATGTGGCATTGGACGTCCGAAGGGGTCTTAGGGGGAGAGATGGTATGAATCAGCAGCAAGAGCAGCAGAAGTGGCGGGAGTTTGGGGGACTGAAGCTGAATTTCTATTGGGTTGATGGCATATACCAGAACGGGCAGTTTGGATGCGAGTAAGTCAACACCCACAGCACCCTTGTTGGAAAATACCGTTTTTTTCCATGAGATCGCAGCATTATGCACCCATTTGCACATTAATTGCACTCTGGATCCAATCGCTCCAACTTCATCCTCCCTCCCACTCCCACTTCAGGCGAAGGGGCTTCTACTCTGGCAGGGAAGCTTCCTTCCCCAACATCTCCAACACGGCGGATGTCACAATCATTGATGCTGGCGCCTGGTCCGGCTTGCTATGCCAGGAGCCTGAGAGGGCCTACAGTGTTCACCTGCCTGCGTTTCTCGAATGGGCGAATGGACAGAGGCGTAAAGCAGAGGAGCACCACCAGAGTGAGTATGTGAAGCTACAAACGGCAGACCTTGATGTTGCTTATTTGGCAACAGATGGTGGTAGTGGGGAAGCCGAGCCTGGCGTTGGTTACGGCGTCAACGGTACCAGTACCAGGATGCTCACGCAACACACATCGAAACCAAAGTTTCTATTTCGGTCCATTCCTCCCATTCGGCGGGTCAACGTGGATTGCTTCACTCCTACACCACCAAAGCCATTTTCGTTACATCCTTCGACAAACTCGCTCATCGAGTACATGAATGGGCTTTTAGAGGGGCAATTACAGCGCTACAGTATACAGTTGCTTGATGGATGGCCGCTGGAAGCTCCAAGGCACATGGATACATGTGGTCCTACAAACATTCACTACACTTGTTACGATGCTGGTGAGGGAGGAAGAGGGGTTGAGAAGGGTTGGCTGTATGGTGAAGTTGGTGAGGCTATGGCGAATCTTACAAAGCACCACCTGTTGTATAATCTGCATAAACAATGAGATGTGAGAATGTACTATATTCCAACTTCGGTTTATCATGCCTTCGACCTGATCTGTGCCTCCAGACCAGACGCTCACGTAGAGTGTTGTTGGTGCAGAGCTTTCAGAATGTTACATGGTACCAATGCTGTGCAATAATGAGCTTTGACTATCAAAGTTAGCAAACACCATTGTTCGAATCAACAGCATTGTGCAAAGATAATACACGATTCCCCAACAAGCCACATCAACGGATTGGCTGATGCTACCGTACTAGAAATGGCACAAGCAGGCGTGCGTATTGTGGAAACACTTCCTTAGGCGGAAAGCTCCTGTCTCGACAACAGTAAGAACCTACCGGTACAGGTACTAGTCTGGCCATCTCCAAAAGCTGCCCCATTGTGCCCCGCTCCAATAAGCCACCTCATCGAGCTTTTTGCTTCCAGAGATCTAGCTGCTGAAGCAGATGAGAACCGTGCTGCTGCCGCGCGCACCCAGAGAGGGAGGGGCCTTTGAGTCGACCCTCAATCTTGAAGATACCGTGACTTGACTCCAAAGCCCATTTTATTGCACGCCGCTCCACCGTGCGACCTCCACAAGCTGGCTGCTGCCGAAGATGCGTGCACCAAGAGGCCTTAAAGCCTATGCACTGTAAGCTCTCATAACGCAAAGAACCATTTTACTGCACGCCGCTCCACCGTGCGACCTCGACAAACTGGCTGCTGCCGAAGATGTTGTTGCTGAAGCGGATGAGAACAGTGAAGATGCGGGCTCCCAGGGGCATGCTGCGGGCCAATGGTGACGATTCCACCACTCGCTCCAACCCGTTGATGATCTGATAGCGCGTGTTAGATGACACTGCCATGAATCCACCTGCAGTGAAGAGGAATTTAGGAAGAGAAAGGGTAGGATTTAAAGTTCGCCGTGGGGAGAACAAGACTCCACCACCCGCTCCAGCCTGTTGATGATCTGATAGCGCGTGTTGGATGACACTGCCATGAAGCCACCCGAGGGTGGGGAAGGTGGTGGACGAGGGGGGAGGGGAGAGGCACGTTGTCAACAAACACACATGTACAGGGGGTAGCGCATGTACAGGGGGTAGCGCATGTTGGATGATACTGCCATGAAGCCACCTGGGAGGCAGAAGTGGCGTGGCAAGGGCGGGGAGGCAGAAGTGGCGTGGCAAGGGCGGGGAGGCAGAAGTGGCATGGCAAGGGCGGGGAGGCAGGGAAAACGGGGGATATGGGGAAGGGTGAGGACTCGACGAGCCGCTCCAAGCCGTTGATGATCGGATAGCGCGTGTTGGATGACACTGCCATGAAGCCACCCGAGGGGGTGATGAGGGAGGGGAAAGGGTGATGAGGGAGGGGAAAGGGTGATGAGGGAGGGGAAAGGGTGGGAATGGTGAATCAGAAAAAAATGAATGAATCCATATGGGAGGTGGCAAGGAGAAAAGAGTATATTTTTGGGGAGTGTGGTCGTGGATGGGGGTTGCAAGAGAAAAGAGTGGGAGTGGAGTGAGGGAGAAGAGTCGAGCATCAGAAAGGGCGAGGGACAAGCGTACATCGTACCACAAAGAAGAGCAATGAAAAGCAGGCAGAGAATCGACTTAATTTGAAAAAAAAAGGGAGTATTTCGTACCCCAGAGTAAGGCGGTGGGAATCATGCCCGGGATCTTCACCTCCTCCTCGTGCTCCCCCGGCTCCCTCAGATTCCTGCCCCCCCGCGTGTGCCACACACAGGCACAGAGAGACAAACACACGCACATAGAGACACACACAGAGACACGCACAGAACCACAAGTGAGTCGCAGGGAAGTGGCATAAGGCTGAGGATCTTGACCTCCTCCTCCTGCTCCCCAGGCTTCCTCAGATTCCTGCCCCCCCATTGCACACACAGACGCAGAGGCGGAATGCATGGACGTACATGCAAGTGAGTTATCAACACCGATTGCACCCCTCACACTTCCCATCCCCCCCCTGCCCTTGCAAACACAGATCTTGACTTCCCATCACCCACTTCCCTCCCCACCTTACCCAACCACCACGCACCGCTTGATTTGCACAATAGCAGTTGTCATCGCCTGGGCAATCAGACCACAGCTGAATCCCACCCATCTCCCTCCCTCTTGAATATCCCATCTCCCCTCCTTTTCCACCCCCTCTTTCCACCCCCCTTCCACCCGCAACCAACACGCACCGCTTGATTAGCACAATAGCAGTTGTCATCGCCTGGCCAATCAGACCACAGCTGAACCCCACTACAGCATACTGCCCGCCCTTCACCAACCACGTCGCACCCCTCTGCACCACACTGTATCTCCTCCCAGGCAGCGCCGCCTCAAACATGCTGCTGGGAAGCGCCTCCAAAGCTGCAGCCAGGCCCGGCGGCACCAAGCCTCGCCTGCCTCGGGCTGCCGAAGCTGCGGCGCTGCTGCCGAACCTAGCCATGGGCGCGAGCATGCTGACGAGGGCAGCGTCGACTGCGAATCCCACGAGGATATCTGACATATAGAGATCAAACTCCTTCCAGAAATCGTCTCCTCGTTTCCGCACTTCGGCAAAAGTGGCACACCCAGAGTCAATCACAACCTGGTGGTGAGGAAGGAAGGGGAGGGGGGAGAGGGCAGGGGGAGAGGGGAAGGGGGAGGGTGAAGTGAGGAGAGGCGAGGGGCGAGCATGCTGACGAGAGCAGCGTCTACTGCGAATCCCACAAGAATATCTGACATGTAGAGATCAAACTCCTTCCAAAAGTCGTCTCCTTGTTTCCGCACTTCAGCAAATGTGGCACAGCCAGAGTCGATTACGATCTGGTGCAGGGGTGGCGAGGGGAGAGGGGATGGGAAAAAATTTATTCATGTGTTTATTCATGTTTTATTCATTTCTGGCTTTCTGAGGCACCTCAAGCATCATCTCACTTCAGCAAAAAAGGCACCTCCAGAGTCTACACTACGATCTAGTGCGGAGGGTAGAGCGGGGAGAGGGGACGGTGAAGGGTAGAAGATAAGATGACACAGATTGTGAGTCGTACCAGGGTTCGGGGTTTTAGCTATATGCCAGGGGTTCGGGGTTTACCTTGGAGATATCTATTCAATGAGAACCTTGCTGCAGCAGCGATCTCTACAGCGAATACACCATAGTGGAATATCTATTGGGTTCAATCAGCTCTCGTTACAAGCGCTCGCTATAGGAACATCTGGTTAGAGTACCTCCCAAATACAAGCACATGCATATATGCGCATCTCTGTGAGCACTTTGAAGAGAGGAAGGTGGGATCCGCCAGCATTCTATCGTGCAACTCGGCGTACTCGATATAGGAACGTCTCGTTAGAGTACCTTCCAAGATTTAAACAAATGTAAATTTACGCACCTCTGTGAACACTTTGAAGAGGAAGGCTGGATCCGCCAGCAGCCTATCGCGCAACCCAGAGAACGCGCGAGTGGCGGCGGCGAGAATGCCTCCGCGCACCTGACGGGGATTGTGAGAGCAGGGGGGAAAACGGGGGAGAAGGGGGGAGAATGAGAGATAAAGCGGGAGAGAGGTCGGAAAAAACCCTTACAGTGAATGGAGGGTGGTCGAATGTAACATGCGTCCTCTCAACGTTCAATGAAAAAATAAGACTATATACGGTAGAAAGACCAGGCCTCGATATAGTCACACCGACCTGCAGGTCGATGTATCGCTGCAGCAGCAGCTCCGCAATGCCGTGCTCCTTCACATGAGCCAGCATGTCCTCCGGTAGAGTCACACCCGCCTTAGATAACGCCTCCTCCGCTTGCGCCCAACCCAGAATCGGCCCGTAGTCGCTCTCCGCGTCCCCCGCATTTCCCTCTCCGCCAAGTCCATCCCCTCCCCCTCCCCCTCCGCCTCCGCCGGAGCTTCCCCCCGCGCCGTCACCTCCCCCGCCGCCAAGCTGCGTCACGTAACCGGCAGATGAAGCGGCCGCGCTTGTGGCGACCGACGGCCTTGACGGTTTGCCGTCGGAGGACCTGGATCTGCCGTCCCAACCGGACAATGTAGCAACGTTCGGGTTCAGAGCGGTGGAGATCGGTAGATCGTTAGACGGATCTGCGCTTGCAATGACGATGACGGCGTGGTGGCTCTTCGAAGGGGCATTGCTTGTCGCGCGGAATGCGGCGGTGGGAACGGTAATGGAATGCGAAAGCCGCACGGTGAAAACCGGCTCCTGGGATCGCCAGCCATTGGATGACGATCCGACGGCTGTCGTGAAGCCTAGAGCAGCTGCAGCGGGGTTCGCTAAATGTAAGGCCATGGCCAAACGATCTGACGCGATTCTCGCTAAGAGCTTGCCGTTCGGACGCGGCGATGCACGGTGCGTGAAAGCTTCTACCAATGATGCACCTGCAATGTGGTCAAGGAGGTCTATTTAGACCAGGTCTGCAAGCCTGGAGTTTCCGTGGAAGCGAGGGTCGATACGACACGACGGATCAGAGGATCGATGGATCTTCCGAGGGAGAATTGTGGAAGGGAGGCTAGGGAACTTCCGAGGTTTTGAAATTTCTTAAAGCTCGCGTCTCATATTTCTGCCATCCAACCAAGTGTTAAACGGTTGGAATCCGGTAACAGCAGAGTTTGTCGCGAAGCACACCAAAGCAAGGGGTGGTTGGGAAAGTTGGCTGTCGCACACTTCCCCGTGCACACCAAGTGTTTACAACTGCCGAAAATGAGACTCTGAACTGAACGTTGATAGAACCCAGGACCAAACCTGTCACCCTTGCCTCGGTTTCCCCCCAAACCAACCCACCCTGGTTTGTTTTGGCCTCGATCTTTTGGAGCTCGCTGTGTTTTTTCGCCCACTCGTCAAATATTTCGACTTTCGTTACCCAATCAAACCCTTGCAAATCCAACCAAGTGTTAAACGGTTGGAAATTAGAGACGCGAGCTTTAAGCGCGAAACTCAGCTGCAATATTGCACCCTGCTCAGTACGCGATATGCGAACATTGTTGTACCGTGAACAATGTAGCTGCGGTGCTCCGCTCTGCCACGGTTCTGCATATCTGCAACTTCGCCTTGCAACCGCAGCACATTTTGTCCACGTGGAGCTCAGCCAATGGCTCGCTTCTAGCTTTCCCACCAATGAAATTCGTGTGTGATCGAACCAGTCACATTTATCCTCGGAACTTCACTCCAAATCGTCCATTACTACGTACGCTATTCTTTGTCGAGATTACAGCAGCTACAACAACTGACCACCTCATTATCTCTTTATTATGTGCTACTCCGTAATGCTCGGTGCAACTCCGAAGGCTTTAGAGGCTTGGTGATGAAGCTATCCATACCCACCTCCATGCACCGTTCCCTATCCGATGCCAAAGCGCTGGCAGTTAGAGCTATGATGCGTGGCCGACGTATACGCTGCTCCCGACGGTATTTACAATTTTGGCCCCCACTGTCATGATCAGCCATGGCAGCGATATCTGTTACTTTGTCCTGCGAAGCTGCTGCAGCAGCCGAAGCAGGGGCGGCTACACTGCAGTCGAGGCCGCTGCTGGCGCCGTTACTATTGAAGTATGGAACCATATTCTGATCAGTATAATGTTGCCGAATGAGGCGCGTTGCCTCAAATCCATCCATCTCAGGCATATGACAGTCCTGTAGTCACGCGCATGAGGGTACGTCCAGAAAAGGATGCACGAAAACAAGGAAAAACCATGAGAACAAGATACTGTGCAGCAGACAAGTCACCACCAGCTGGTTCACCCCGCACACTCACAATAAGATCCCTTGAACGCCTCATTATAAGACGACTCACCATGAGCACAAGGTCGTAGTCCCGCTGAGCGCACTTATCAACAGCCTCACGGCCATTGACAGCCACGTCACACGCCACGCCCAGGCTGTGCAGCATGCGCGTCACCACCAGCTGGTTCACCCTGTTGTCCTCTGCCACCAGACACCTCATCCCCTCAAACGGCGAGGTCTTCCCTTCTCCTTCCTTGGTGCCACGCCCCTTGCCCTGCTGCTCTCTCCGCCCTTCCTGCTCCCCCTTTTCTCCCTGCTCTCCCTCCTCTCCCTGCTCTTCCTGCTCCTGTGATTCTTTATCCTGCGCTTGCTCTTCATTTGAACATCGTCCATTCCCCTGAGTATCCCTCTGCTGCCTGATACAGGCTCTCTTGACATCCCGGTCCATCTCATATGCCTCTCCTCCTCTCCTGTTCCCACCAGCATGCGCCTCCACATCCTCCTCTGCTGCTTCAGCGGATTTGAGGCGCCCCAAAAGTCGTTGTCTGTCATGCGCCCCCACACCCTCCTCTGCTTCGTCAAGGCTTGCCGTGCCACAGATACCGCTACTGCAGCTGACGCTGCCCCTGCTGCCACCCCTGCTGCCACTACTGCCGCTGGCATTGCTGATGCTGCCACTGATGCTGATGCTGATGCGGTTACACACGCGCTCAAGGGCCTCGTTCAAATGAGCACTGCTGCTACCTGGTGCTGTTGCCGGGTCAGCTGTCTGGTCAGTTGCCCGGTCTACACCCTGGCTAATTGGTTGGTCAGTTGTCTGATTAGTGGGCTGGTCCCTTGGACGATCACTTGCACAATCAGTTGCAGAGTCGGCCGTACGGTTAGTTGCTCTAAGATGCTTAGTCAGGTCAGAGAGCAAAGGATTGTTCTGAGTCGCTTTCAAACGAGGACGAGGAAGAGGAGGCGGGGGAGTGGTGCTGTGAGTGGGTTCAGAACAAGTAGGCAGTGAGGGTGGTAGGGATGGTGCGAGGGATGGTGCGAGGGAGGGTGTGAGGGAGGGTGTGAGGGAGGGTGCGAGGGAGGGTGCGAGGGAGGGTGCGGGGGAGGGTGCGAGGGAGGGTGCGAGGGAGGGTGCGAGGGAGGGTGCGAGGGAAGGAGAAAGGGAGGGTGGGAAAAACGGAGGGACGGAGGCGACTGCTGGAGTGGGTTGCAGGGAATGAAGACGAGGAGGTGTGGGGACAATGGGAGGTGCAGCTACAGCGGCAGGAGCAGCGAGAAAAGGAGGTCGAGGGAAAGTGGGAGTTGCAGGGAGGGAGGGCGAAGGGTGTTGAGCCTGATGGGAGTTCAGGGCAGTGGGTGTAGGCTCAACTGAGGTGCCGGCAGGTTGGACTGGGGGAGGGCGTACTGACAGACCCAGCATGGAGAGTGATGCGCTTGTCTCTGATCCTGGGGTAGGTGGTTCTGAGGCAGGTGCTTCTGAGGCGGGTGGTGCTGGGACGGATGGACCTGAGATGGGTGGTTCAGGGGCAGGTAGTGCTGGGGAAGGTAGACCTGTAGCAGATGGATCTCGATCAGGTGGGTTTGAAGCTGGTGGTTCAGGGTCAGTGTGGGGCGCAGCAGCACAGGGGGAGGAGGAGGGCACAGGGGAAGCAGGAGGTGCGGGATTGGGATGGGGACGCGGAGCACGGGAGGTAGGAGTAGCAGCAGGGGAGGTGGTTTCCAGTTCTTGAAAGGCAACACCTGCAGGTGCATCTGGGGCAGGCTTATCCACCCCACCCACAACCACCACCTCATCCCTTTGAACTTTTCCAAACGGGATACAGACAGTGAAAGCCGACCCAACTCCAGGCCGACTCTCCACAGAGATCTCCCCACCCATGAGGCCAATGAGCGAGTGACAGATGGCAAGGCCCAGCCCAGTGCCTCCGAAGCGGCGCGAGGAGGAGGAGTCAGCTTGAGTGAAGGGGTGGAAGATGTGGGGCATGACGTGGGGTGCCATGCCTATGCCCGTGTCCTGCACCCTCACCTGCACCCACACCACTGACTTCTGCTGCTGCCCCTCCTGCCCCTCCTGCTGCTCCTGCTGCCCCTCCTGCTGCCCCTCCTGCTGCCCCTCCTGCTGCCCCTCCACCTGCCCCACCCGCTGTCCCTGATGATTCATCTCCACGTGGGTCAAGTCCTCTAACCATCCGCTTGTCTCCACCCTCATCCCTCCCTCCAACCTTCCTTCCTCGCTTCCAGACGTCTCCACCCACGTTTTCTTCATCCCTCCAATGCTCTCCACCTCTGGTCTAGCTGTTTGCACCATATCAGACCACCCCTTCTTCTTCACTCCTCCATCACTCTCCTGTTCCTCACCTCGCCCCTCTCCCTCTCTCTGCCTCTTCTTTCCTTGAGACCTTTCAACCCCACCACCACCACTGCCTCCTCCTCCTCCTGCTGCTGCTGCTCCCACTTCCCTTTCTCCTTCCCCCCCTGCCCCTCCATTTCCTCTTGCTCCCCTACCCTGCCAGGTGTCCTCTCCACTACACTCCCCCCTCCCACGAGAAGACCTGCTATCACTAACCTTCTGCACACATTCGGCTGACCAGGGTGAACCAACCCAGAGCCTACCCCCCGCCCCACCAGCCTTGCCATTGACACGTGAGGGGGGTGGTTCGTGCAGCCTGGTCACATGCACTTCCACGGAGCCTCTGCCATGGGGAGACACGCACAGAGGGGAAAGAGCGCACGACACAAGGGAAGGACAGTGAGCAAAACGCGGAGCCGAGTAGGGAGCGACGACGGGGTGAACTGTGAGACGTCTCAAAAAGTCGGAGCCGGGTAGGGAGTGGCGACGGGGTGAAGTCGCTCTGTAGAATGAGTGTGCCTTTCGTGTGGTGTTCAAGACAGTGTATTAACAATATAATTAGTAGTTGCAATGGTACTGAATACATCATAAGGCGCATCCACATGACGCACCTATCAGTGAACTTGATGGCATTGGAAAGCAGGTTGAGCAGCACCTGGCGGAACCGCATTGCATCGCCCACCACCTCCTGAGGCGTGGATGGATGGACGGTCACTGACAGCTGGTATGATCCCAAGGAGGCGAGAAAAGGGAAGAATGGGGATGGACGGGGAAGGAGGGAGAGATGAGGATGAGGGAGCGGATCATGGATGGCTCAAAACCTGTGGTGTGGATGGATGGACGGTCACTGACAGCTGGTATGATCCCAAGGAGGAGAGAAAAGGGAAGAATGGGGATGGACGGGGAAGGAGGGAGAGATGAGGATGAGGGAGCGGATCATGGATGGCTCAAAACCTGTGGTGTGGATGGATGGACGGTCACTGACAGCTGGTATGATCCCAAGGAGGAGAGAAAAGGGAGGAATGGGGATGGACGGGGAAGGAGGGAGAGATGAGGATGAGGGAGCGGATCATGGATGGCTCAAAACCTGTGGGGTGGATGGATGGACGGTCACTGACAGCTGGTATGATCCCAAGGAGGCGAGAAAAGGGAGGAATGGGGATGGACGGGGAAGGAGGGAGAGATGAGGATGGGGGAGCGGATCATGGATGGCTCAAAACCTGTGGTGTGGATGGATGGACGGTCACTGACAGCTGGTATGATCCCAAGGAGGAGAGAAAAGGGAGGAATGGGGATGGACGGGGAAGGAGAGAGAGATGAGGATGAGGGAGCGGATCATGGATGGCTCAAAACCTGTGGCGTGGATGGATGGACGGTCACTGACAGCTGGTATGATCCCAAGGAGGAGAGAAAAGGGAGGAATGGGGATGGACGGGGAAGGAGGGAGAGATGAGGATGAGGGAGCGGATCATGGATGGCTCAAAACCTGTGGTGTGGATGGATGGACGGTCACTGACAGCTGGTATGATCCCAAGGAGGAGAGAAAAGGGAGGAATGGGGATGGACGGGGAAGGAGAGAGAGATGAGGATGAGGGAGCGGATCATGGATGGCTCAAAACCTGTGGGGTGGATGGATGGACGGTCACTGACAGCTGGTATGATCCCAAGGAGGAGAGAAAAGGGAGGAATGGGGATGGACGGGGAAGGAGGGAGAGATGAGGATGAGGGAGCGGATCATGGATGGCTCAAAACCTGTGGTGTGGATGGATGGACGGTCACTGACAGCTGGTATGATCCCAAGGAGGAGAGAAAAGGGAGGAATGGGGATGGACGGGGAAGGAGGGAGAGATGAGGATGAGGGAGCGGATCATGGATGGCTCAAAACCTGTGGGGTGGATGGATGGACGGTCACTGACAGCTGGTATGATCCCAAGGAGGAGAGAAAAGGGAGGAATGGGGATGGACGGGGAAGGAGGGAGAGATGAGGATGAGGGAGCGGATCATGGATGGCTCAAAACCTGTGGTGTGGATGGATGGACGGTCACTGACAGCTGGTATGATCCCAAGGAGGAGAGAAAAGGGAGGAATGGGGATGGACGGGGAAGGAGGGAGAGATGAGGATGAGGGAGCGGATCATGGATGGCTCAAAACCTGTGGGGTGGATGGATGGACGGTCACTGACAGCTGGTATGATCCCAAGGAGGAGAGAAAAGGGAAGAATGGGGATGGACGGGGAAGGAGGGAGAGATGAGGATGAGGGAGCGGATCATGGATGGCTCAAAACCTGTGGTGTGGATGGATGGACGGTCACTGACAGCTGGTATGATCCCAAGGAGAGAAAGGGAGGAATGGGAAAGGAGGGAGAGATGAGGCGGGGGGAAGGGGGATGGGAGCGTGAGTGAGAGGGAGTGTGCTGCTGATGGCAGAGTGGAGACAGCAGGGGTGGAGGGAGTGGGAGTGGGACTGAGGGAGCGAAACTGAGGGAGCGAAACTGAGGGAGCGAAACTGAGGGAGCGAAACTGAGGGAGCGAAACTGAGGGAGCGGGACTGAGGGAGCGGGACTGAGGGAGCGGAAACGCCAGTCAGTGGGAGTGAGAGTGAGAGTGAGAGTGAGACACACCTGCAGCCCTTTCTTCACGGCAACAACTCTCATGAGCGCGAGAGTGCTGTCAATGGCCGAGTGAAGGGCGAAGGGCGCGAGGGAGAGGGCGAGCGAGTGGGACTCGATTCGGGTGATGTCTAGGAGGTCTGAGAGGATTCGCACGAGGCTCTCCCCTGACGCCCGCACGCACGACCTAAGAGTGGAACACGCCCGCACGCTCTCCCCTAACCCCTTTTTATTTACCCGCAATAGCCATTCCTTACCTGCAGCCCTTTCTTCACGGCAACAACCCGCATAAGCGCGAGAGTGCTGTCAATGGCCGAGTGGAGGCCGAAGGGCGCAGGGGAGAGGGCGAGCGAGTGGGACTCGATGCGGGTGATATCGAGGAGGTCTGAGAGGATCCGCACGAGGCTCTCCCCTGACGCCCGCACGACCTGCAGCAACGCCCTCTGCTCGCTGCTCACTCCCGAGCTTAGTAGCAGTTCCACCACCCCCAACACGCCTGGGGAAGCGACCAAAGCAGCAGCATGGAAGGAGGGAGGGAGGGGCAAACGGGTGAGTGCGTTTCTAAGGCACCTCACGAGGCTCTCCGCTGATGCCCGCACCACCTGCAGCAGTGCCCTGTGCTTGCTGCTCACGCCTGATGCTAATAGCAGCTCCACCACCGACAATACGCCTGGGGAAGGAAAGAGGGAGCAGGGTGCGTGGAAGGGTGGGTGGAAGGGTCACGTGCAGCAGCGCTGCTCACGCCTGATGCTAGTAGTAGTTCCACCACGCCCAACACGCCTGGGGAAGGACGGAGGGTGGAAGGAGCGAACGTGTGTTTGAGTGTGTTGTCAAGGCACCTCACGAGGCTCTCCCTTGACGCTCGCACCACCTGCAGCAGCGCCCTCTGCTCGATGGGTGGCTGGCTTCATCGCCTTACTGCCAGTCACCTACTGCCAATAACCCATTAACAAGCATTACCCACTCACCATTCATGGGGGTGCGCAGCTCGGGGCTCATGTTGGCCAGGAACTGCGTCTTGGCGCGGCTGGCCGCCTCTACCGATCAGTCATCACCTCACCCGTCATCTCCCACCACCACCATCCTTGACCAACCACCACCACCACCACCATCCATCACTCACCATTCATGGGGGCGCGCTGCTCGTGGCTCATGTTGGCCAGGAACTGAGTCTTGGCACGGCTAGCTGCCTCTACCGATCAGTCATCACCCATCATCTCCCACCACCACCACCATCCATCACTCACCATTCATGGGAGTGCGCAGCTCGTGACTCATGTTCGCCAGAAACTGTGTCTTGGCACGACTAGCCGCCTCTGCTGCTTCCTTAGCCTGCCTCAGCTCCTCCTCCCGCCTCTTTGTCTCCCTCATATCGTGCCACACCACAATCACACAGTCCCTCCCCGCTGCCACTATGTGCTGGGAGGGGATGGAAACGCGAACACACACAGCCAAACACACACAGGGGGAGAGAGGAGAATTTGTCGAAATGCCCCTCTATCTGGATCGGCTTCCCTCCTCTATCTGGATCGGCTTCCCTCCTCTATCTGGATCGGCTTCCCTCCTCTATCTGGATCGGCTTCCCTCCTCTATCTGGATCGGCTTCCCTCCTCTATCTGGATCGGCTTCCCTCCTCTATCTGGATCGGCTTCCCTCGTTTCGTGCCACGCCACGATCACAGTCCCGCCCCGCTGCCACTATGTGCTGGGGGGAAAGGGGAAGGGGGGGGAAAAACACAACGACGGGGAGGGAAAAGTACGCGGTCAAGAGCTGTCAATGATGGGATGGACAGGTGGGCTGCGGAGGCCTTACTTCCATCAACTCGTGTTGTATTACACAACGACGGGGAGGGAAATGTACACGGGCAAGGAGAGAGAGAGAGAGGCTTGTCAGTCAGCATGTCCCTTGCTCCCGCTTCGCTTGAGGTGATGCAAGTTTGAGGTGCAGGTTTGAGGAGCAGGTTTGAGGTGGTGAAGGTTTGAGGAGCAGGTTTAAGGTGGTGCAGGTTTGAGGTGGTGCAGGTTTAAGGTGGTGCAGGTTTGAGGTGGTGCAGGCTTGCAGTGCAGGCTTGAGGTGCAGGTTTGAGGTGCAGGTTTGAGGTGCAGGCTTGAGGTGCAGGTTTGAGGTGCAGGCTTGAGGTGCAGGTTTGAGGTGCAGGTTTGAGGTGCAGGTTTGAGGTGCAGGTTTGAGTGCAGGCTTGAGGTGCAGGTTTGAGGTGCAGGCTTGAGGTGCAGGCTTGAGGTGCAGGCTTGAGGTGCAGGTTTGAGGTGCAGGTTTGAGGTGCAGGTTTGAGGTGCAGGCTTGAGGTGCAGGCTTGAGGTGCAGGCTTGAGGTGCAGGTTTGAGGTGCAGGCTTGAGGTGCAGGTTTGAGGTGCAGGTTTGAGGTGCAGGTTTGAGGTGCAGGCTTGAGGTGCAGGCTTGAGGTGCAGGTTTGAGGTGCAGGTTTGACGTGCAGGTTTGAGTGCAGGCTTGAGGTGCAGGTTTGAGGTGCAGGTTTGAGGTGCAGGTTTGAGTGCAGGCTTGAGGTGCAGGTTTGAGGTGCAGGTTTGAGGTGCAGGCTTGAGGTGCAGGTTTGAGGTGCAGGCTTGCAGTGCAGGCTTGAGGTGCAGGTTTGAGGTGCAGGTTTGAGGTGCAGGCTTGAGGTGCAGGCTTGAGGTGCAGGCTTGAGGTGCAGGTTTGAGGTGCAGGCTTGAGGTGCAGGTTTGAGGTGCAGGCTTGCAGTGCAGGCTTGAGGTGCAGGTTTGAGGTGCAGGTTTGAGGTGCAGGTTTGAGGTGCAGGTTTGAGGTGCAGGTTTGAGGTGCAGGTTTGAGGAACCAACCCCAGTTCTGCCCTTGCTCTCACCTTGACTCGCACCAGCACAGGGAGAGGTGACCCATCCAGGGCACGGTGCATCCACTCAAAGCTGATCGCTTCACCACTCCGCTCTGCACCCGCGCCATCACCTCGCCATCCACCCCTGCCTGCCCCTCCCCTCACCCTCGCACCAGCCACAAACAACATATGCGCTGGTGCCTCGCACCTCTGCCTGCCTGTTCTCCCCTCTCACCTCTTCCTGTGCTGGTTAGAGTCAAGGCAGGCAGGGGTGCGAGCGAGGCACCAGCCACAAACAACATGTCTCACCTTGACTCTAACCAGCACAGGAAGGGGTGAACCATCCAGAGCACAGTGCATCCACTCGAAGCTGATTGCCTCTCCGCTCTGCACCCGTGCCATCACCTCTCCAGCCGCCTCGGCCGTCGGGCGGCCGTCCGGCTGCACGGGCGGCGAGAAGCTGACGTGGAATGGACGGCACATGACGTCTGCCTTGGAGGCGCAGCGCAGGATGGTGACAGCCGCCTCGTTGCAGTCCGTTATCGACTCCTCGTGCAGACGGAAGATGAAGATGGGGTCCTGCAGGGGAGGAGAGAGAAGACGGCGTTGTGAGGAGTGAGGGGGGAGGAGAGACGCAGCGCAGGATGGTCACGGCCACCTGTCTGTTATCGACTCTTTGTGCTGACGGAAGATGAATATGGGGTCCTGAATAATAAGAGAAGAGGCAGGAGAGGGGTGTGGGGGTGGTGGGGACAGAGTGAAGAGGGAGGAGCAACCAGGATGGTGACAGCCTGAAGGGTTTAGGCTTTTTTTTAGAATTCTAAAAAAAAACCTACAGCATCAGGGTTATCGACTCCTCATGCAGACGGAAGATGAATATGGGGTCCTGAGTGGCGAGGAAAGGGAGGGGGGTGTAGGGTAGGGGCAGAGTGAGGAGGGATGGATTCTGCCTTGTTGCGGTCTGTTATTGCCTCTTTATGGGAACGAGAGATGAAAATCGGGTCTGGAATGAGCATGGAAGGGGGGTTACAGTGGCAGAGCGTGGGGCAAAGAGTGTAAGAGGCGATTGAGATTATCAAGCAGTTTAAATTCAGATATAATCAAACAATGAAAAAAAAAAAACCAACGAAAATATCAAACAAGCAAACCAAGGCAGGCGGAAAGATTTGGTAAGTACAATGGAGAGGTCAAAGACGGCTCGGTATCGCACGTTCTCCTCTCTCAGCCTCGCCGGGTGACGTTTGGGTCGACTCAAAAGACAAGTGGAGTTGCTCGCAAGCAATACATGGGGCTGTTGTTATGTTACCATGGACAGCTCAAAGACGGCTCGGTATCGCACGTTCTCCTCACTCAGCCTCGCCACCTCCTCCATCCTCGCCAGTAGCTGCTCCGCTAAGGTGGCGCCCCCATCGCCACTATCCCCCTTATTAACCATGGCGCCACCACCGCCGTTTCTGCCCCCAGCACCCGCATCAGCCTTGCCATCGGCAACAGCAGCAGCGGCGACACCATCACCCACCACAGCACCTAAATCACCATCAGTACCAGCACCGCCACCACCACCAGCCACATCATCACCATCACTATCCCCACAGGACTCATTGCCGCACGCCGTCACAACAGCATCCCGTTCCTGGGCCCATGATTCAACCCCTCTACCCGAATCACCCCCTCTGCCCAAGTTATCCGCGAACTGCCTTTCTTCAACCAGCAAACGGACACCACTAACAGCTGCACCAGGCTTTAACCTTTCAGATACTCCTGCTGCTGCTACTGCTGCTGCCATTGCAGCTGGTACTGCAGGTAATTCTGCTGCTGTCGCTACTGCCCCTGTTGCTTCTGTTGATACACCTGCTCCTGCTGCCGCGCCTGCTGCTGCTGCTGCTGCTGCGCCCATTCCTCCTGCTGCAGTTTCCCCAGAGGGCGCAATGCCGACCTGTGATTGGCTCACTGCGTCTCTCAAGCCTTGCGATTGGACCGCCGGCTCCCTCGTCCCCTGCGATTGGCTGACGGCGTCTCTCGAGCTCTGCGATTGGTCGGCAGCAGAAGTGCGGCATGGCGCGTCAGAGTGCGACCGGAGCATGCAGGAGAGACGTTCCAGGCGTGAGCGCACTGCATCCTGGGAAGAGTTGGAGGGGTTCGGAGGGTTTGGGGCGGGTGGAGAGGGGCGGTTCGGAAATGAGATTAAAAGGCATACAGGATAGACAGACGCTCTAGAGCTAGTGCATCTTGTAAGGAGGAAGGAGATGCAGGGTCGTCTGGGGTGGATGAGAATTCGTTTGTAGGACTCTCTAATATGAAGGAAAGCAACGCAACACAACGCAACAACACGACACGACGTTACACATCGAATGAAGAGACAAACCTGCTTACATAGATGGGCCGGGCTGTTCCTGCATAACCCCTTCCGAATCCGCATGCAGGCAGAGAAGAGAAACGACGTTTGAGGCGCATCAGAAGGAACGTTACACAGCGCATGAATGTAGAAACCCGGCTGGCTTACGTAGATGGGCTGTTCCGGCACAGCGCCTTCCGATGCCGCATGATGATGCCTCCGCTTCTTCGACTTCCGCCCTGCGCCAAGCTCCCCCGCGCCAAGCCCCTCCGCCTCGCTGCCTGCTTCCGCCGCACTGCTCCCGCGGGGGAAGACGGCGCGCGCAGCACTCCCGTCCGCGCTGCTCTGCCGGGGGACAGCCTCTTGGGCAACAATTCCGCCCGCAACGCTGTCGCGAACAGCTTCGCGCGCAACTGTCGCCGACGGGACAGCGGCACGCCGAGCGAACGTTCTATCCGCCGCGCTGGCCCCATGAACCGCCGCCCCGCCGCCCCGCCGTTCCGTCTCCAAACGACCCGTCGTATTCTCCGCGTCCGCTTCGCCCTGCCCCTGCCGATCCGCGCGCAAACCCGCACGGGACTCACTAATCGCCCTTCCGACAAATTTGTGCGAATTCTCAAAACCCTGATTTTTCTGAAAATCTTCCAAAAATGTTTCCCGCCGAACCTCTCCCTCCCTTCTCGCTCTACCCACCCGCCTCCCCGCTTCGCGCTGCAAATTCGGTTTGAATGGGTCAATATCCGCGTTATCGGCTCCTGTGTAAAGAGCGCTTTGCACGTGGCAGCGGCAGCAACAGTCCCGCTGAAAAAACGCGGCCTTTGGGGTTTGAACCCGGCCCTTCTCTTCCCCGAAATCTTCCTCTCTGCTCGCCACGCCTATCCCTAAATCCTCTGCCACGTTCGTTCCTCCTGCTGAGTCTCTAAAACGATTTGGCCCGTTGTTTGCCGTATTTATCGCACCCTCAAAAAGAGTAGTCGTTGGGTCTAAAGGGGCAATCGTGACGTCTGAAGGAGTAATCGCCGCGTTTAACGTAGTAACCGTCACGCGAGCCCAAAAAAACTCCTCGCCGCAAGTCGAAGCGCATGTCGCCGCGCTTCGACAGGAGAGACGAATGTTACAACCTGCACTGCGATCTAGGTCAGGAATTGCCCCGCCAGCGAAATGTGTTTCCGAAACAGCGAAATGCGTGGACTTTACGGGTATCGCTTGACGATCCGAGGGGTCGACAGTGGAAGCAGTAGCAGCAGGAGGGTGTGGTGTGATGATGGGCCGAAGTCTACAGACCGTATCGAAGCAGCTCTGTAACGCGGACCAGTCTTCCGGGTGAACGTAGTTCGGAAGGAAAGAACTCGCAACCTCTAGAGCCATGCTGCTCGGTTTCTCCTAGAGTTTAAAGATAAAGCAAGCCGCCGTCGATCATGAAAACGATTTCACTGTCTGGAAGCTGAGCATGCTAAGCTCCCGGAAATACATGACAAGAAGGTTAAAGGTATGCGGTCTCAGGTAGTAGTCGCAATGCAGGGCATATGCTGGCGTGCAAGACACGCCATTCACCAGCAAAAGTGGTTGATTATTCTGTGACGTCAGAGTACTGTCTCTCTCATTCTCGCCATCTCTCGTCTCGCGCGGCAAACGCGCTGATCTATTATCCTTGGGACCACCTGACATGTACGTATCAGATACTTCAGTTGCTTCTCTGCTTGTAAGAAATGCTGTGTTGCTGGAGGAGAGGTTTGATTCACGCACCTTTCGATTTGAAGCGAAGGGCCTACTGGGTGGCAGACTGGCGGTGATGACAATGAAAGAAGGCGCTTGTCGAGATTTGAGAGCCACGAACTTCAGGTGGAAGGTTTGTTTGTTGTTGAGTGAACTCGTGTGTGTTTGAAGGTTGTACTGTACTTGTGGTGTGTGTGATTGTGTGAGGTTTGCTGCTGGGTGGCGAATGGCGGTGGTGACAGCGGCGGAATGGAGGGAGCATCCGAGCCGAAAGCCTCATCGGAATTCGGTCGTCAGAACGGTTTTGCCAGTGTCGTCGAGGGGGGTCGTCGGAGCCGAGAATGACGAGGCGGGCGACTGACGCGCGTGCGGGCCCGCCAGCCTGGCCCAGGGCTGGGCCGAGCGCACGACCGCCGCCCCGCAGCCCCGCTCCGAAAGTGAACAGCGGCCCACGTTACCGGGTGGGGTCGGCGAACTGGCGACACCTCTCGCGTGGGAAAGGTACCCTCGCGCGAAGGCAGCCCACACGTGCCACCTGCCCGCGAGGTCCTAGTAACCCATCGCGGCCTGCCCGGACGGGCAGGCGAGGGCCGGGCGAAAACTCGGGGCCCCCTCGGGACGCTCGACAATTTTGCGACCCGTTGCGGTGACGCCACGTGTTCGCTCGTGGTTTCGCATCGGGCGCATGCGATATTTCGTTGCGAGCGAAAAAAAAAAAAGCCCGCAACGCGGAGAACGAGGTTCGTTACCCGCTACGAAGTCGACACGTGTCGTGCGAATGGACGCTCCTCGCGCATGCGAAATTGCGTCCCCTCGCCGACCTGGGCCAATGGACGCGAGGTCGACGCCCTGCCGAAGCGGAGTCGGACCACCTGTTCCACTTGCGCATGCGCCCTCAGAGCCCTGCCGAGCCAGGCCCCACACCCTTGTGCGACGCTGAACGGGGATGCGGTGGGCCACCGTCTCCTTTTCTTTGTGGATGGTGGCCTCGCTCCCCATTTTCCGCATCTCGTTTCACTCCTCCTTTTCTCCTTTTTTTCTCCTTTCGTTGCTCTGTGCGGCTATCGTGATATCGCTTCCCCTTAGTCGATATGGACCCTAGCCCCGACGCCGATAACTCGGTGCCGACTTCGGCTGACTTCCCTCTTCGTCACCCAATGGGTCGTGGTCTCAGCTTCACTCTAGAGTGGGAAGACTTCTTAGTTCTTCGCAACCACAAGATAGAGTTCAACGACGGATGTTTGGGTTTCGGCATCAGGTAGGACTCGAGTAGTCGGCGCCGACTAAACAGGGTTAGTGTTGATGTCGGCGCAGTGGCCTTCTGATTTACGTCGACGTGCGTGGTATTAGGCATAGACCCCCTCCAGGAACGTCGGCCACCTTAGGAAGCGTCGACCACACGCAGTCGCCCTGTGTACTTTTCGGCGTTTGCTCAACCGCCCTTGTATGAACCTCCTTGCCCAATCGTGCCGTCAGGTTCGCGTGGTCCCGACTTGGGATCGACAACCAGCGTTTGTGGGTAATCGGAGTCGGCACGCTTCGATCGGCCATGAAGGAGGCCGACCATTCATGCTTTGCTGCGGTTTTCGACGCCGACATCGCCGCTATCCCGTTAAGAACGATGTGAGTTGTTTCACCGTTGATCAGTTGTCGTTTTTTTTTGTCGCGACATCGCGTGGTGTTGTGATCGACGCCGTCGTGAATTGCATGTGCAGCCTCGGTCCGCTTCCAGGAACGCACTGCAGCGTCATTGCCATCCTATACCCTGGAGATCTGTTGAAGGCTGAGGGACAGGTGTGCAGGACCTCAATCCGGCACATCGACCCGCAGACCGGTAAAGGGTATCACCGCGACGAGGCCGCCCGCGTGCTAAAGTAAGTGCTAAATTGTCGTCGATGACCCGCTTGTTAGTCGGCGACACAGGGTATCACACGCTGACCGCCTCCCTCCACCGCGGTGCTTCAGGTTCTTCCGCACGGCTGTCCTGGCCGAGCTGGGGCGTCCCGGTAGGATGTGGGACTGGGCGCCGCCATCACAAGCAGTGGTGGAGGTCAGGTTGGCCGACTGCGACCACCCTATCCGCGATGTGAGTTGCACGTTCAAGTAGTAAGGGGGGTGCCCGTTTCTGAATGCTCCGCTCATCATGTTCCGTGCTTGTATGCAGAAAGTGCCGGGCACAGTGTCGGACGGGCATGTCGGTGCCCGCGTGCTTTCCGCGACGTCGTTCGGGTGGGTAGCGAAACAGATCGACCATCTGACAGGCGAGAAGGGTCGTAGTGGGGTGAGCATCGAGAGCGTCGGGATGAAGGGGCTGAAGGCTTTGCGCGACAGCATGGTTGAGTACGTCGGCAAGGTCATTGCCGTAAAACGCACCGCGGCGCCGACTTCTCAAGCCGCCGGACCCGCCGACAGTGCCATTGATGACGACGGCGCGGAAGGACAGAAGGCGCCCCAAGGTGCAGTTGCCGCCCAGCATCAGGGGAACGCGAGGGTGCATGGGGAAGGTGGAAACGGTGGAGGAGGCGACGCAGAGGCAGGTGCAGGAAGGTTGGAAACGGAGAAGTCGTCGTCGTCTGAGTCGGAGTCGGAGTCGGGGGAGGAAGACGAGGCGGTGAAGCGTAAGGACGAGGACGAGGAGGAGGAGGAGGAGGAGGAGGATGAGGAGGAGGAGGAGGAGGAGGAGGAGGAGGAGGAGGAGAATAAGGACGAGAATGGTGAGAAGTGGGAGGGAGGGAAGGATGAGGAGGGGGGGGATGAAGAGGTGGAGCTCGTGGTGGAGTATGTAGAGGGTACGGTTGAGGCGGGAGCGGCGGAAGAGGCGGTGGGGTCGGCAGATCAGGGGAATGAGGAAGAGAAGGATGACGGCGCGGGAAATGCTACGAGGTCGGCAGATGTGGGGAAGGAGAAGGGCGAGGTCGGCGTGGAGGCAACGACGGGAAATGGCCAGGATGAGGCGGCCTGCGAGGGAGGTGGGAAGGTGTCGGTCGACGCCGGCGAAGGGGCGAACAACACGGGCGTGCAGGAGACCGGGGAAGCACCTGGTCGGCAGGGCCCTGAACTGGACGACGTTGAGGAGCTGCGACGGGAGAACTGGTTGTTGCGGGCGGAGAACGCTCGGCTGGCGACGTTGCTCGATGCGGAGCGGGCTCGGCTGGACAGGTTTTTTGTTGGGGTCAGTGGACTCGTCGACCACGTTAAAGGGTTGGCCGAGCAGGTCGACGACACCGAGAAATATGCTGCGGAACAGCTGCGAAACGCGACGGAGGCCATGTCGAAGACCATCACGGGCAACATCACCGGCAGCTTTGACGAAGCGTGGAAGTCGATGAAGACATTCGCGGAACAGGCGACGGAGTGGTTGGAGGACTTCGACAATCCGGAGGGTCGTGTCGCGTATGCACGGGCGTTAGCGGTCTCCGCCTTGGCCGAACACGTAGATTCGGTGGTGGGCGATGCGAAGAAGGGGTTGGAAGAGTACGTCTCGAACCACCTTGCCTCCGCGCAGGTCAACATCGCCACCGCTGTGACCGCCAGGCTCGCCGTGCCGCCGCCGCCACCGCCTCATCCCACGCCGCCCGCCATCCCGGAAGAGCTTTTGAAGTCGTTCAAGGCCGACATCATGAAGGCGGTGACGGAGGCCACCCAGCAGTCTTTCGTTGCTTCTGCTGCTGTTGTGAATGCTCTCGAATGGTCCTTGCGCCCCCCTCTTCTCTGCTTCTCCTCTTCCCCCTCATCCAGAGATGTCAGGCACCTCAATGGCCACGCCCATCACTGCTGGCTCGGCTGCTCTGCTCAGGCAATACTTCATGGACGGCTTCTACCCCACTGGCCAAAGGGTAACCCTATGCATTACCCCTTCTGTTTCTACCATGCTGCGATTTTCTTCCGTTATCTCATCACCACTTTTGTGCTGTTGCATTCCACTAGGTTCCAGCCAATGGATTCGTGCCAAGTGGCATGCTGCTCAAGGCTACGTTGATAAATGGCGCCATGCCTCTCACCGTTGCAAATGGTGAGCTTGAAAACAAGGCAAGAACTTGTCAATTCTCTCTGCTTTGCTCTCTGTCCATTGCTCTTTGCCCGTTGCTCCCATCACTTTGCATTCTGTGCTTCCTGCCCTCCCATTGCTGCTCGCTTTTGCTGTTCCGATGCCTTCTTCAGTTTGTATCAGTTCTCCCCAGGCCCCAACAGGTGCCTCTTGCATGCACCACAGCTTCGCCTTTTAAGATGGCTCAATGAATAGTCATGTTCCCTGATCTCCACCCACCAGGTGACCGTTACCCTATAGACGCACCACCCTCCATGAACCAGGGCTTTGGCCGTGTGCACCTGGGCAATGCTGTGCCTATAGCGGGTACAGCAACCTTCACTACAGTGGCAATCGAGGGACCTGCTCTGAAGACCGGTAACGGCTACCGCGTTTGCTTGCTGGTTGATCCTGGGAGGAGTGATGGCGGAACAGGGAGCGAGGATGTCAAGATCACACTCACCTGGTTAGTGTTCCGTTTAGTCTTTTTCTAGACTCTCGCTGAACCACTCCATTTCACACTAACCAAATATTTTTTCGCTTCCTTGGTTCCATTCTCTCCAGGTACGACGCACCGGCAGCACTGGTGGCGAATCAGAACGCGGCGACACCGCTGCTGGTGAACAACCTGGACCTCTCAGTCACCTCCCCCACCGGTCACACCTTCTTCGGGAATGGGGGGCTGGCGCCTGACGCCCGTAACACTGTGGAGCAGGTAGGACCTCTGAGAACAACCTGCTGGTGCTGCTGGTGCTGCTGGTGCTGCTGGGGATTATGGTGGTTATGGTGCCAGTGGTACTGCTGGTGAACAACCTGGACCTCGCTGTCACCTCCCCCACCGGTCACACCTTCTTTGGGAATGGGGGGCTCGCCCTGATGTCCGCAGCACTGTTGATGTCCGCAACACTGTTGATGTCCGCAACACTGTTGATGTCCGCAACACTGTTGATGTCCGCAACACTGTTGATGTCCGCAACACTGTTGATGTCCGCAACACTGTTGATGTCCGCAACACTGTTGATGTCCGCAACACTGTTGATGTCCGCAATGTCCGCAACACTGTTGATGTCCGCAACACTGTTGATGTCCGCAAGGTCTGAAAACCGCAACACTGTACTTGCGGTTTTCAGACGGGTCAAAGGCCTTTTGGGGCATCGCAGAAGAAATCATTGAGTAGGTATCTTGCTGTCCTTGCCCTGATGTCACCCATCTGCCCCCATGCCACCCCTCTGCCACCATGCCACCCGTCTGCCACCATGCCACCCCTCTGCCACCATGCCACCCGTCTGCCACCATGCCACCCCTCTGCCACCATGCCACCCGTCTGCCACCATGCCACCCGTCTGCCACCATGCCACCCCTCTGCCACCATGCCACCCGTCTGCCCCCATGCCACCCCTCTGCCACCATGCCACCCGTCTGCCCTCATACCCGCACCGTATGTGCCCACATGTGCCTCCAGGTGCACATCACAGCGCCACAGCATGGAGTATACACGGTGGATGTGAGGGCAGTGCAGGTCAACATGCCCATGTCAGTGGCGGCAGCAGCAGCGGCGACGGCAGCAGCAGCAGCGGCGGCGGCAGCAGCAGCAACGCTATGGCATCAGCAGCAGTTACCAGCACGGACAGGCAGATGGATGTTGATCCAACTGGGGGGTCTGCAGTGGTGGAGGATGAATGGGTTGGCGGATGGGGGTTGCAGGATGCAGAGGCACCGAGTGAGGAAGCAGAGGGTGGGGCGTTGGGCAGTGTGGGAAGAGGAGAAGGAGTGGCAGACGAATGGGCAGAGCAAGGGGCAGACGCAGGGTCGGCAGGGGAAGCAGGAGAAGCAGGAGAGGAAGTAGGAGCAGGGGTAGCAGCATTGGGAGGCACAGGGGAAGAAGAGAGTCGTGTGGTGGTGCTGCCATGGGGGCCGTGCACCTCCCCTGTCACCTTCCCATCCCTCGATAGCGGCACCTACGTCTTCTCAGCTCAGCTCCTAGACACCTCCTACACTAACACCCTCATCAGCCCTCTTTACAGGACCACCTTTGCTATCGATCTTGATGCACCCACCACCACACTTTCCTCTGCTTATACCCCTGCTACTACCGCAACCGCTTCTTTCACCTTCACCTCTCCTTCTGCTGACGTCAGCCACTTCCAATGCCAGCTCAGCGCCTCGTCGCTCTCGCCTCCCCCCGCCGACCCCATCACCCCGCAGCCAATCACGTTCCGCCAAACAACCAGCATCCCCACCCGCCTGCTCGAGTGGCTGTTTCCCCCCTCTGTAGTCACACAGAGCGAGCAACTTCCTGCCACAAGCCCAGGAGGACAAACCCCTCGTTTAGATCTCACACAGGGGACCACCACTAGGGATAACTGGATTAACTGCACCAGCCCTGTGACTTACTCTGGCTTCTATGACGGTCGCTATGCCTTCTCTGTGAGGGCTGTGGATCAGGCTGGGAATGCAGATCCCGCCCCCCCTATAGTCACATGGGCGCTCGATACTGTCCTGCCGAAAGCAGTGATTCTAGAAGCGCCGGCGGTGTATTCGAACCTAGGGAGCGTTCGGTTCGCCTTTGGGCTTGATGGGGAGGTGGGCTCTGGGCAGGCAGCGGCCTCACAGATGGGTTTTGAGGCGCTAGAGGCATTGCTAGTGGTGGATCCGAACCAGGAAGGTGCTCCATTCACACCTGAATCACAACTACAAGAGTCACCCGAATCAACAGAATCACAGCCACTGCAGTCACAAGAGCCACCAGACTTACAAGAGTCACGAGGGCCAGCGGAGTGGAGCTGCAGACTGCAGGCATGGAGTGGTGCCACGTCCCCGCCTCCCCTCTTTGACTGGCGCAGCTGCAGCAGCCCCTTCCAGGTGGGGCAGGATGGCAGCAGCAACAGTAGTGACGATAGTGACAGCACCAACAGCAACAACACCAGCAGTGGCAGCAGCAGTGGCAGCAGCAGCAGTGCTAACAGCAGCAGCAGCGGGTGGTATCTCTCTGCACCACTTCCAGACGGCGCGTACCTCTTCAGTGTGCGTGCCACGTCAGCATGGAACCGACACGGCCTCAACAACGCGTCAGCCAGAGCAGCTTTCACCATCGACAGCACTCGTCCACGTGCGCTGCTGCTCTCCCAACCCCCTAGCATCCTCAGTCAGCCCCAACCTGTCTTCTCCTTCTTCGCCCCCAAAATGGTTACCTTCAGCTGCCGACTCACCGCCTCTCCTCCCATCCCACCTGCTAACCCCTTCCCGTCATCTCCTTCTGTCACCTCCTCGCTCTCTCCTGCCTCCTTTCCCTCTTCTTCCTCCTCTTCCTCTTCTTCTTCCCCTTCCTCCTCTTCCTCCTCCTCTTCCTCCTCCCCTTCCTCTCCTCCCCTCTCCTCCACCATTCCCCTCTCGCCATGTGTCAGCCCCGTGCGCTACAACCTGCCAGATGGCACGTACACGTGGCAGCTGTCTGCCATTGATTGGGCGGGGAACGAAGCAGAACCAGTGCTGCTGGATTTCACAGTAGACACCTCACCCCCAACAGCGCAAATCTTATCTCTCTTCGTCATACCTGACTCCACTCCTCTCAACACCTCCAACTCCACTCCTCCCAACTCATCCTTCCAGCTACCCAACTCACTCCCCTCCGCTACCTTACTCGCCACCTACATGGGTTCAGACGGCCAGTCGGCGGAATTTCGGTATTCCTCTGCCACGTGGCACTGGCTGATTCGCCAGAGCCTCCAATGTTATCTCCAGGAGCCTGGGCGCCGTGCACCAGTCCGTTGAAAGCACCTGGGCTTTCACCTGGGCAGTACATATTGATGGTTGCGGCGAGAGACAGAGGCGGTATTGTCAGCACCAGACCTGCTATGAGCAGTTTCACTGTGGAGGCACCTGTGGTGGTGACAGGTCTCCAGGAAGAAGGAGGAGAAGGAAGCAGCGAAGTCGATTCTCCTGATACCGGCACCGATGGTGGTAGAACCGTCTCACAGACTGCTGCTGCTGCAGCTGCTGCTGCAGCAGCTGCTGCTGCTGCTGCTGCTGCTGCTGCTGCTGCTGCTGCTGCTGCTGCTGCTGCTGCTGCTGCTGCTGCTGCTGCTGCTGCTGCTGCTGCTGCTGCTGCTGCTGCTGCTGCTGCTGCTGCTGCTGCTGATGATGATGCTCGTGGTGTGTCATTCGTCGCACCCCTTCCACCCGCATACAGCAGCAACAGCTCTGCCACGCTCCACTTCATCACTGTACACAGTAACGGAACGTCCTCAAACGAGGACACACTGAATCAGCAGCCAACAGCTCCTTGTGAATGCGTCCTGCTTTCCACGCCCCTCCTCTCCTCCGCCACTTATAATCAGTCCACGCCCTCCCAGTCTCCTCCCCCACCACCCCTCCTCGCATGGCCCTGCAGCAGTCCCATCGTGCTGCCCTCTCTCCCTGACGGCCGAAACCAGCTCTGGGTGCGGCTGGTGGGGGAGCAGCGCAGTGGAGGGACGTGGGCAGCGTTCTCCTGGACCGTTGGTGAGTGCCCTGGCATGCCGATTTTTCTCCCTGCTTTGACTCTCCGTGCCCTTGTCTCTTTCTCTACATTTTTACCTCTGCCCCAGCCCTGCATGCCCCTTGCTCCCCTGCCGACTTCCATTGCTCCCATCATCGGCCTCCTCTGCTTGCTTGACCCTCTTCTTTCCTCACTTGACCCCCCCGGCTGCTTGTCCTCCTGCCTGATTCTGTAACACCGTATCTCACCCTTCTAGAGTCACTCCTCGGATTGTTTCTTTTTGCTTTTGCGACCTTATGCCTCTGCTTCTGCCATCCCTTCATGCATCCTTCCCTCCTACCTCCCGTCCCGTCCCCCTCCACCAGACACCACCCCACCCTCCACGTCCATCTCGTGGGCCAATGGCAGCGTGCCAGGTGTCGTCTCCTCACTGAGCCCCACAATGCAGGTGTTTGGGAGGGAGGAGGAGGGAGGGAGTGGGGTGGTGCGCCTTGAGTGTAAACTGGAGGCGATGATGGGAGGAGGGGGAGCAGGAGCAGGAGGAGAAGGAGGTGTAGAGGAGAGAGGAGGCACCAATGGAGGCATTCCCACTTGGCAGCCTTGCATTGGCTCGATCCCCCTCGTGCAAGACATGCCACCGACCAATCACAGCACAGACAGCTCCACGGTCCTGCCACTGCCACAGCCCCCATCTCAACTCACAATAGACATCACCCTCGCCTCACTCCTCCCGTCCCTGTCATTCCCCACTCAATCGCCCCTTTTGAATCCCCCTCTCGGTGCATCTCTCTGTGCTGCTCTCCCGGATGGTGTCTATGCGCTCAGCGTTCGGGCAGTGGATGCAGCAGGGAATGCGGACCCAAACCCGCCCTCGGTGCAGTTTGTTGTTAGTGCGTGGGCGATATCCCTGGCTGGGGTGGAAAGCAGAGAGGAGGGAGGGGGTGAAGGGGGGAGTGAGGGAGTGGAGAGTGGTGTTAATGGTCATCCTGGCAGTGGCGGCAGTGCAGTTCATCCTGATACCACTGCAGGCACATACACTCCGTCCCGCCCTCTCTCAGCCTCTTTTCCCACTGTTGCCATTGCATGTGACGGCCGCTGCGCTGCCATGCTGCCGGCCCCATTTGCCTGGGAGCATGCTCAACAAGGCAGAAGCCTGACCACCGGCATGACCCAGTCCAGCTCACCATCAGCAGCACCATCCCCATCACACTTCCCGTCGTCCCTCCCTTCACCGCCACCTGCGTCCACCACTCTAGAGTCCCTTATGGCGCCCAGTGCTGCCAGCAGTGGTAGCCTCAAGGTGCTGGTGGCTAGGGGAGGAGAGGTGAGGAGCGGAGAAGCAGAAGAGGTCACTGGAGAAGAATGGAGGAGGGGGCAAGAAGGCGTGAGGGGAGAAGAGCTGAAAGGACAATCCGTGGATGGAGGTGTAGCAGCGGCGCCGAGTCCAGCAGCAGCAGTGGAAGGCACGCCTCTGGTCTTCAACGTGCTCTCTGACGTCGTATCCTTCACCTTCCCTCCTGCTCCACCTCCTCAGCCCGAATCTCACCCTCCTGCTGCGGACACGAGAGTGGGGCCTGCCTCCCTGTCCGCCCCCCGGTCCCGTCTTGCCCTTGCATCGCCTCTGCTTATGATCGGATTCACCCTCCCAGACCCCTGTGACCCTAGCAACGACAACACTCCATGTGCTGATATGCAAGCGCAGAAGGCTGAACCTGAATCAACAGTGACCCCTCAGGCAGGAGCTCTAGCACCCACGGCAGCCCCGGTAGCAGCAGCAACACCCATTCCACCAGCAGCATCAGCAGCAGCAGCAGCAGCAGTAGTGGTTGTGCAGGGCTTGTCGCTGCAGGAGGTTCTTTCCTCTGCCATCAATGCATCCCTCCCTGCATCTCCTGCCATCACCATACTCTTCCACCCTCACACCACGCCCACACTGCCACCACCTCCATCACCATCAGCACCACCACCACCACCACCATCACCACCGTCATCACCATCCTCATCCCTCCAGCCACATGGCAACCCCCCAGTGGACGGCTGGCAGCTGCTGGACGCGCGTCTGCTGTGGCAGCAGCAGCACCCCAGCGTTGCCACCTTCTCTGCCCCGCGCCCTGGACTCTACGCGGTGGCTGTGCAAGAAACCAGTGAGTGCGCCAACCTGATGACTTCCCTTCACCATCTCAATATCATTCTCTGCCCCTTCTCCTGGTCTCTTCCTCAGCTCTTACTCTCTGTTCCGCTTTTCATCAGACCAGTTCCACCTCCTTGGAATGAAAATGGCAAGCATTTCTGGGGCATCTCCATTCCACCAGGCCTCGCATCCCTTCCCACGTGACATCCTAAATCCGATCATGCTCTCCTCCCCCCGTTGCTGTGCCTCTGTGTGCGTCTGGCCGACCTGCTTTGGACTGGAGTGTGTGTGGCTGGTTCAGGCAATCAAGACCCCTCAAGCACCCTCAGCAGCGCCCCTCCAGCCACAGAATTAAGGTCTCCCGCTGCATCCAGCAAGGCGTGGGTGATAGCGCTAGCAGTCTCACTCGGCGTCGGTGCTCTCGTGGTTGCGGTGGGGTTGGCGGTGGTTTCTGTTCGGGTTAGAGGCCATGCCAAGGTTTCACCGCACCTGCGCAAGTGACTTTTGAGTCGACTCATGAGTTGACTTCTGAGTCGACTCAAAAGTCACCTTGTTCGGGTTAGAGGCCGTGCCAAGGTTTCACCGCACCTGCGCAAGTGAGGAGGGGCTTTGGTGCGCGCCTTGGCTGTTGGGAGTTCTGGAACAAAACCACGTGTGCTGTTCCATTACAAGTATACTTCGTTTTTTAGGTACTGGTTTCTGTCAACGAGGCAGCTTCTGCTGCCTTACCCTTCAATAAGAGCAGCTGTGCCTTGTGCACTGCCATCCCATGGGATGAATGGCATGGCATGGCATTCTTGCAAGGGCCATAGGTGGCATGGCAAGAGGAGTGTCCTTTTGAGCTTGCTTGCTGAGGTGCACCGTCTGGGGTTCTTAAGGACAATGATTGGCTATGTGCCCGAACATCCCCTATGTGTTCATATGGATTTCACTGGAATGCTTTACGATACCATGGAATAACATATAGTTGAGTCAATAATGAGTATTGCAACTAGACACTAAACACGTGTACTACACTTGGGGTGAACAATGTGCATTGCATTTCATTCTACCGAAAGTGCTGCTCCAGGCAGCTCAGCATGTTCTCACTTATTCACCTTCATGATCCGATCTGAACAAGATTTGAACGAAAGCACCAAGAAAGCTGTCTGAAATTGAATCATGCCTCCTCTCCTCCTCCAGCCTCACCAATACAATGCAGCCTGCTCCATGCTCCCTGCTGCGGGTACTATTCTCTTTCCTGACCAAAAACACATAAATGACAAAGAGAGGGCTTGGGTTGTACCAGCTCACAAGAGAGGGTAAGAGCCGATTACATGTAGAGTTTGATGGGAGAGACTGCATGATGGGAATAATGGATACAGGAAAGAGTTTGAGTGAGATATAGAAAAAGAGGGATATATTTTATCTTACCAGTGTACACCTTGCCTTGTGAGAGCGTGCTACACGTTGCTATCCACCCCAACCTCCACTTGCTCCCTGTCTGCTTGATCCTCCTCCTTCCGTTTCTTCTCCTTCTTATCCTTCTTCTCCTTCTTCTCCTTCTTCCCCTTCTTGCCTCTCTTCCGATCCTCTGCCTCCTCACTCCCTTTCGCTTCTTCGCTGCTATCCCCCCCCACACCCGAATCTCCCACATTGCCCCTCTCCCCTGCGTCTTCCTTCCTTATCCCCTCCTCACTCTCTTTCTCACCTCCCCCTTCTCTCTCCACCTTCCCAGTAACTTCCCCCATCGCCTCCCCACTAACCTCCGTCGCCCCCTCTCCCATCTCCTTTCTAGAAGCCTCCGCCACCCCCTCCCCCATCTCCTCCCCACGAACCTCCACCACCCCCTCCCCCATCTCTTCCCCACGAACCTCTGCCACCCCCTCCCCCATCTCCTCCCCACGAACCTCCGCCACCCTCTCCCCCAACTTCTCTCCTACACTCACCTTCCCCCCTTCCTCCTCCCCAACCACGAATTCCCCGGCCTCGGGCTCAGGTTCGGGAATGTCCACCACCACCACCCCACCCTCCTTAACCAACTCCTCATGAATAGCCAATAGCCGCTCAGCAACCCTTTTCATAGCGGGGCGTTTCTTAGCGGGGAAAAGCTGACAGTCCAGCCCAACCTGTAACACTCTCCGAATGACGTCAGCAGGGTAGGCGGTGCCGAGCCGCGGATCCACTATACTCCCTATGCCGGCGTCTCCTCCCGACCTAAGGCGCTTCGAGACCCACGTGCCTAGGTCCAGCTTCGCGGTAGCTTCGCCAGGCTCGTTCTCAATCACGGCTGGGCGGCCGGTGAAGATCTGCAGGAGGATAACGCCAAACGCGTACACGTCATTGGGCGGCGACGATTTCCTAGTTATGTTGAAACTGGGGTCGATGTAACCACTGGTTGCGAGCGTCGGCGCGTGTGGTAACCCGCCCAGCATGCTCGCGCCGCCAGTGATGTTTCGGGACATCAAAACTTTCATCCGCCCGATGTTGCCCACCTTGGGAACGCCGTTCGTGTCGAAAAAAATGTTTTTCGGATGCAACCCCTCTAGTAAATACGGCCTAGGGAACTCCGTGTGCAGGTACGCGACCGCCTCGGCAATATCAACGGCGATCAGCAGCCTGTGCAGGAAATCGAACGGTATTCCTTCCTCCTCGCCCTCCGCGACAACCCCGAGGTCCATGAGCGCGCGAGCGTTTCGCGAACCCCTTCTCCACATCGTAATTTTCTCTTTCCACACGTCGGTGTTCCCGAAAATCATCGACTCCAAACTCGGACCGCCCACGAACTCGTATATAAGCACCCTCTCGCCGCACTCGAAACAGTAACCCAGCAGTTGAATCACATTCTGATGGCATAGTACCGCCATAGACTTCGCGCTGAAGATGAAATCCGCTTCTAGCTCCGCATAAGCCGCCGGGTTTGCCGGGCGAAACGTCAGCATGGGGCCATCCCCGCCCCCTTGCCGCCAAACGGATCTCTTAACCGCCCACTGCGCTCCGTTGGGCCCCGCGCCTCGGTAAACCTCGGACGTGCTTCCTTTTCCGATAAAGTTCTGCTTACTGAAGTTCCTTGTAGCGCGAGTTAACTGTAGCAGGTCGAACTGCTGAAACGACATGCTCCGCTGCTGCGCGGCTCTCTTCCGCGCCATGTCTTTAAACCCCGGCGACCGCAGCACCTTGCGCCAAAACTTTGCGCCAGCGTGCGGAGATTTCAGCGCCAGTTGCGGAGCGCCGACGTCGGGCGGAATGGTAATCGCCGTCACGCCAGCGGCGACGTAAGGCGCGGCGGAGTTATAGCCGCTGCCGTACTTGACGCCGAGGCTGTTCGATGGAGTCGCCTTCGCGCCGCCATCCGCGTCATCTGTCGCGACGACCCGTCGATGGCGCTTCCAGGGGCAGCAGCAGCCGCCGCAGCAGAACACGTTGTAGCAGCCTTTGCAGCAGCCTTTGGAAGACTTGAAGCAGCGGCAGCAAATGCAGAGCAGCGCAATGAGGATGAGCGCAGCGACCACGCCTGCTACGACAAGTGCCCATAAGGGTATCTCTTTCCCGGCAATCTCCATCTTTCCGCGCCTTCTTGTTGACTCTGCGCGGGCCGCCGACGCTAACCTTTGGTAGAAGAATCGGCCTTTTCTAAACCTTTGCTATCAATACGCTGACTAGTAGAACTAATGCCGCTGACCGGCCAAGCTAGAAAATTGCGTAAAAATCAGTCGATTCTGAGACCGAGAGCACGAGGTTGAAGTGAGAGATAGCACGCTAAGGCTAAATTCAAGGCTTCCAGGGAGACAAAGCGCGTCTGGAAACCACAACAAAAAAAATAAAAGGAAAAAACGGTATGTGCGGGTGCGTGGGTCAGTGAGTAACGGATTGAGCTTTCGCATCATTCATGCGCTTGATAGGATTTCCGGAACTATGCGACTCCATGATAATGGAAGTGCAGGACTTGGCTGAAAGTAAGCAAACGTGATGCTACTCGTTTTGCCTTGAGAGCGCAGCAGACAATACTGTTCGGCCACCCTTGTCGAGCAACCTAGTTCAGTCAATTTTGCGCTACTGTTGTTCAAAGTGGTTGTGACGAGGACTTGTGGAGAGGGTGGAATGCTTGCGAGGCAAGGCAACGAATGCTCGTCACGTCATGGTGAAGTCAAAAGAGTGTCGCACAATTATTGAGGATTGTCTGAGACGAATTGCCGAGTCGCAAATGTCTTCTTGGAGTGCGGCTCGATGAACGTCGCTACGTCGCGTTCTTTGTTGTGGAGCAGTTGACTTCGGGTCCGCATAATTATTGGCGGCCTTGCAGCAACAACTCCGTTACAGATTATTACAGATGACGTACGAACTAAATATAGATATGACAGTAATTCACTGTTCGTCACATAGAGATGATTCCAACACTGCTTGTCCTTGTTGCGAGAATGGACTGTGCTCATAACACTGGTACATGATTTACTCAAGTCAAAATTGGTGAGCTCTTGCTCCAAACTCCCCCATTGCAGCGTAAAACATCTCAAGCATCAACAACGATAGGCACCTCCTCTCCTTATCCTGCACAAAAGAAAATCAAAAGCAGGAACCAATTACCCTTCTAGATCCAAGCTCCAATTCCCGCCATCTTGTACAGTCACGTCACATAGTCACGTCATGACTCAACTCCGCCCAAATCGCACAGTGAGCACAGCATGGTCAGAAATGGTGTAGTCTTCCGGCCACACGCCCTCCTCCATGGCCCTTGGGAACAGCGTTGCTTGCAGCACGTCCAGATTCAATGCACCTTGCAGCTGCATGCTCCCTCCCTCCCTTCCACTGCTCCCTCGCATCGTTCCACTACCCAGCTGCTCCTTCACCCTCCCCTCGGTCGTCCCTCCCACTCTTCCCTCTGTTTTCCCACCTTCCCCCATTGAGTGAATCTGAAGAGCAACTGCCTTGCTAAAAGAACATCCTTTACAGTCACCTCGGAGAGCTGTACACCCAGATAGGCCCATTTTCCTCCGCAATCTCTTACACTCTGCCTCTATTTGCCGCTCCTCCTGCTGCTGGCTCTGGTGATGCTGCTGCTGCTCCTGCTGCTGCTGAAATGACTGTCTTCTTGCTGAGGCAGCAACAGCATGAGAAAAGGCAAGAGGGTCGGCCGAAGCTGTGATAGGGTCGGAAATGCCGGACCTGAAGAGCGGGAGATGGCTGAATAGGTGCAGATGAGGAAACTGCATGGAAGGTTCGAAAGAGTGGAATAAGTGGTGGGATTGAGCGGGTGGCGGAGAGGAGGAGATGGGAGTAGAGGAAGAGGTCAGGGTAGAGGAGGACGACGAGCAAGTCATGACTGGGAGAGAGTGAGTGCGAGTGTGGGGGAGCGAGTGAAGGAGGGGGGAAGGCGAGAGGAGTGAGATGGGAGATGTACACAGGGGTGATGATGATGGGAATGGGGAGAGGTGGGAAGATGGGGAAAAGGGCCGTGATGGTTGCGACGAGGGTAGGAACTGGAGGGAGGGAGAGGACGGGTGAGAGGGGATGGCTGTGGATACGCATTGAGTGTGCTGTGTTTGTTGATTGCTGGTGGTGGAAAGATTGCACATTGAACTCAGAGGACCAGGGCTGCTGATGTCAGCTGAGGTGATGCTGATGTCAGGTGAGGTGATGCTGATGTCAGCTGAGGTGATGCTGATGTCAGGTGAGGTGATGCTGATGTCAGGTGAGGTGATGCTGATGTCGGGTGAGGTGATGGTGATGTCAGTCGAGGCACTGCTGATGTCAGAGGTGGTACTGTGGACGTCAGCAGCACCCGCAGCGGTTGATTCAGCAGGTGGTGGAGGTGAGTCAGCAGAGCATGACGTGGCAAGAGAGTGCCTGAGAGCTGCCACGGTGTCATCCCACGTGGGTTGGTCAAAGAGAGCCTGTTCAGGTTTGGATTTGAAGAAAAACGGGGAAAGGGCGAGAGGAAGGAATAGGGAGAGGGTATGAGAAAGGGGGGATGGTGGATGATGGAGGGATGGAGTGCAAGCGGGGTGATTGACCCTGCACAGGCAGTTTGTCTGATGAAGAGGCAAGAGCGCATTGAAGTCAACGCAAGTCAATAAGAGTCAACTAGGAAAATGGCAAGGAGCGCAAGAAACGGTCTATTAGGGCGTATCCCTGGCTGGTGGCAGGGCCACTGTAGCTGGCAGGGTTGGTGGCAACTTTCCCAAAAACACAGGGGGGCGGACAGTGCGCATGCCACCAACAGTGCCAGCTACAGTGGCCCTGCCACCACCCAGGGATACGCCCTTAGCCTACCTTGAAGTCTTCAAAGTCAACGCAGCCCTTCCCCTGGCAGTCAGCGGACCGCATCAGCTCCTCCACCTCAATGCGCGTCAGTCCAATGGAGTCAACGCCAGTCAACCCCAGTCGGTCCAGTCCCCTCTGGAAATCACCCATGTTGAAAGCAGCAGCCGCCTGATCCCCTGCAGCACCCCCTTCAGGAAAAACTCGCCCGCCATGCGCCAGGGGGCCCATGGCTTTGTGCCCTTCACCCGCCCGCAGGAAGAAATCAAAAGCTGCCTCGACATTGGTGATGCCGGCCGAAGCGAGCTTGGATCGAATAAGGCCAAAGACCGCCGTCCGCCAGTTGACTGCAAGCGTTCGGTGGTGCTGCTCTGGGTTGAGCACCCACACATAGTCCACCCCGCACAGGTTGCCGTGGTGGTTGCGGTGACTCACCCACTGGGAATGGTGTGGGGTTGAGAGGGGGGAAAGAAACTGTTAGCACTCGGTGGTGCTGCTCTGGGTTGAGCACCCACACATCGTCCACCCCGCACAGGTTGCCGTGGTGGTTGCGGTGACTCACCCACTGGGGGAGAAAGGGGGGAGGGGAGGTGAGTGAGGTGCGCAGAGAACAAGGAGACGTAAGCACAGAATTGATTTGTCTGCGAGAGTCATGCCTGATAGAGTGACACAGTACCTGCTCGTCGTCGTCGCTGTGGTGGTGCGCCGAGTCAAAGGAGGACACAAAGCCACGTGATGATGAATGAAGGCACACGGCGGGATGGAGAAGAGAAAGTTCATGTGGCACACATGTTTTTTGAGAATTCTCAGAAAGTTCATGTGGCACACATGTTTTTTGAGAATTCTCAGAAAGTTCATGTGGCACACATGTTTTTTGAGAATTCTCAGAAAGTTCATGTGGCACACATCTGCTCCAACGGTACCTGCTTGATAGAGCGAGGGAGTACCTGCTCGTCGTCGTCGCTGTGGTGGTGCGCCGAGTCAAAGGAGGAGACAAAGCCATGCGCCCTGAGCAGCTTGTACACGTTGCCCTGCTTCGTGCCGTTCAGGTCCCTGCATTGTTGTCACACAGCCGTACAGTCACACAGGCATCACAAAGAGCCACAGACGGAATGGCAAATATTAGGTTGTATATCTGAACACGTTGAACATGTAACAAGGAGTGAGAACAAGAGCAACTTACAGCGAGGAAACGACAAGCGAAGAGGGCAAACAGATAATAAAAGACACCCGCACACTAGACGAAAGCAGACGTGAAGGCATCTGTAGAGGCAGAGGCAGAGGGGGAGATAACGAAGAGATGAAGGAAGAGATGAAGAAACGAAACTCACCCGCAGAGTATGACGGGCAGCGCACCGGCGTGGTGCTCCTCTCTGTACCCATCAATGCGCTCCAGGAGCTTGTATACCTGATGCAGATACACACATGAGCCCAGACGCACACACACACACACACACACACACACACACACACACACACACACACACACACACACGCACACACACACACACACACACAGGATGTACAAAGATACACGGAGTGTTGAGGTTGACTTTCGAGTCAAACGTAAGAATTCTCGGACTAGTCAGATAGAGCTTGCATCACCTGGCACACACCTGGCACACACCTGGCACACACCTGGCACACACCTGGCACAGACGAACAATGCTGGAGTTGGCGTTGTGTGGGAAGAGCAAGTGCGTGTTTGCCACCACCACCTCCTCCCCTCCCTCCCCCTCCTCTCCTCTGCCCTCCCCCGTCCCCCATCTCCCCTCCTCCACCTCTCCTCCCTTCATGCTTCTATTCCCTTCTCCCCGTCCTCCTCGCCTTGCTCGGAGTCGGACAATCTGTGCCACCCGGTCGCCACAGTCGTTGAAGCACAGCGGGTGGTGGTCTACCACCGCCCACTCCGATGCTCTCACTGCCATCATGAGGCCTGGGGATGGGGAAGTGTAGGGGAAACGAAGGGGAGTCATTGGAAAGATAACAGCAGGTGGTGGTCTACCACCGCCCACTCCGATGCTCTCACTGCCGTCCATCACGAGGCCTGGCGATGGTAATGGGGAACAAAGTAGAGGGAAGGTTGATCGGAGCAAAGGAAAAATAGCTCGCAGACAGTAGAGGAGGTGGTCTACGCATGCATGTATACACAGTTGCATGGTGATCGCTCACCATCTCCCCTGGCGTTTGTGCGAGGCAGCTTGAGAAGCTGGTAACCAGCACCCTGTAACGCTGTGTCGTACATGTCTACCCACTCCGGATTGGCCAGCCAACACTCCTGCATAACAGATTGGCACAAGAAATAAAAGTGAGGAAGGAAATCACAAACGGATGGCAATCTCGAGAAACTAACCTAGCCAATAACAATCTACAGCAAAAGATGTAACCTAAGTCTATGATCTGATTTCCCACTTCCCTGAAGAGCCACTTACGTTCCGTGTACCTACTTATCGCAGTCACGGGCTCATCCAATAACAACGAATACAAAACCTACAATCGGGGTACCTGCAAGCACAGGATGGACGACTTGGTGTCGAGAAGCGTTTTGATGATCTCCTGATTTCGCTCCCGCCATACATGCTGACACGCGCTCTCCCTCTCGCTCTGCCACAACGGACACACGGTGAGAGAGATGGAGAGACCGGGATAAGCAACGCTTCGTTAGGTGGAATCATAGGAACAATACACAACCGGGCATGGCTAGCAACACAGCGCATGGCACACTGTAGCGCACCGCATGGCCATAAGAACCAAAAACATCCGGTCTCTGACTCCTCCCTCCGTCTGCGTCTTACCTCGACACCCATTCTCTTGTAGATCGGCGCAAGCACGTTGAACGTGGTACACGATAGAACCGTTTTCTCCTCCACCGTTCTCCACCGTTCCTCGTTCATCGCCTCCGCTCGCGCCTCGTCCACCACCGCCATTGCCGCTGCGCTCTGGTAACCCCGCGACGCGTAGCTTAGGCGCCTCTCGCCGCCAGTCACGCCGCAAAAACCGTTTATGAACGCGTCGCGATGCCGTACTAAGGGCCGACTTCCCTCGTGGGAAGAAAAAAACGAGAACTCGCGGCCATGAGCTATATGTGACCCGTACGGCACGGCGTAAGCCTCGTTGAATGCTTGCCGATCCGAAAATACGCTATCGCGATTCAAATATCGTCGTTGTCTTTGCTGGGCGAACGTTCGAGAATTGTCCCTCGCGACGTCCGCGAAAGCGTGGAGGTAACCGAGATTACCAATTTGGCCTCGAAGCGAGGTAACGCCCAGCCTCAATCCGTCCATAGGAGAGTCGTGGAATTGGTCGTGCGAAGTTCGACAACGTTCGCATGACGACGACGACGACGACGCGTCTGTATCTTCGCAGCAGCTCGCGGAATCGCAGCAATTGACCGTTTGACGAACAGAGGTCGAAGCGGGAAACCACTCGTCCGAAGGTTGCGCGACGAAGCGTGAAACGCAAGGCGACGCAAATCTCGAGAACGCAGTGGCGGCAAGACCGTTGCCGCTGAGGAGGATAGAATCTGCTGCCATGATGGCGTGGCGAACCCAGAGTTGATTCGGCGCGCACAACCAGGCAGCATTTGGCGGGAATCCCGCAAAACTTACAACATGCATGTCGACTGCTGATTAGGCTAGCTAAAGCTGGGAAAAGGTGTAAGGGTTTGAGGGGCGAACTGACTTGTGCTTGGATGGCAGTCTGCTTGTGGGTCGCTTGTCGCGTGGTCTGTGGGGAGAGTGTAGGCTCGAGAGAGTGAAGGGCGAGTTTGAGTTGAATGGTCGGCAAACTACGAAGATTGGGCTGAGGCGCGTGGGATGCTTGGATTTACAGGGAAGCGAAGGGGTGCGAAGACAAACTGGCGAAGTGCTACGACAAAACCTGTTCGCCGCATTTGTTCGCTTGGCGGCTGGAAGCAGCAAGACAGGCTTCACGATGTTGACGATGTTGGTAGCAGGAGAGTTACGCAGGTTTGCGCGGCGGCGATCATCCTTCGGGCAGCTGATTGGCTTTTGAGCAGCCCTGGTTATCTCCAGGCCAGAGTCACTTGTGTCTGTTCAGATGTGGCACAAGAATATTATGCTCCAAAAGTGTTCGATCCACGTAGACATATCCTATAAATTCCTTTCGTCCGTCATCATCCCCGTCAAGCTTGCGCGGCATTGCCGCACTCCCTTGCGTAAAGAGTGGCCGGGACGTCAGCCACGGATCATCACACGCCAGTTTTAGGCATTTGTTCGTCAGCAGTCGCCGTCGGGCAGTTGCTACTTGACGATCCTAAGGGCGTGTGGGATTTTTGAAATTGCCATAAGTTCATGTTTTTGATTCGATTGTAGGATTTGAACACGAAGTGAACATGAATCGACTCTGAGCTATAGAAAGTTCGAACCGCGGGTGTCAAAGGTGCAAGTGCGAATTTGCAGGCTCGAGATTATAGGGAGTGAACCGAGCCGTCTAAAGGGTGTGTAGGCAACCGGAATTGTTTTCTTGACATCGTGACACGTCAACGAACGATTCGCGAGCGTGACTGACTCCTCGTACGTGCCTGAAATCACACACGTTCGGTTCATTATGCAAAACCACGTTTGGCCATATTCTCGACTCTTGATCACTTTTCTATGTTCGGATTTGGTAGTTTTCAGAATGAAGTCAACATTGACGAAAATATTAACGACATGAGCGAACAAGGCTACCATCCAAACTTCGACCCATTTTACGAACTTAAAAAACAATCCCACACGCCCTAAGCTCCCCACCCACAACCCCACATATCCGCACGACTGCTTCCAGGGTGGTCCCTTCGTCCCGTCATGTGTCCACATTCAACCCTTTTTATCAACATTCATTTCCATCACAATCATGAATACAACACTAAACTCTCAAATAGCTAGCTCTACATACGTTTCTCAATAGATAATTCACTGCTAGGTAGCACTTCTGCTGGTAACTTGTTTCGTTCATCGTCGTCACATACCCCATGCCCTCCTCCCCAATCTCGTGCCGCGCAAACCTCATCCCATTTCCGGCGAAATGACGCGCATCGTCGAAAAACTTGTTTGTCTCACATAATATACATTGACAGACCAACTTCCTGTGTGCCTTCGCAACCATCGTAACTGGTGTGTTTACTCGCCGTTCCATTCGTCAATCCTCGCAGCCTTGCCCTCACAGCCGAACAACCATGCCACGCCTCTTCGCCACCCGTCGCAAACATATACTTCGCTTGCCTCGTCTTCTGCCTAGTCAATGATGGAAATGCAATGTCTTCAATCTACCATCATTGCAAGCCTCCAGGCCAGTCTCTCGTTTGCTACAGGACAGTCGCCAGTACCATTTTCCAACTGTATCGCCTGTTCCATTTCAGCCCTGTGCCGCCATAGCAATCGAAATAGCCCTCACTGCCAATCAAGCAGTCACACTACACAGATTGTCGCTGAGATCTGCGCGACGAAGTGCTACAACTTATCGCAGAGGGTGTCTGAAAGATCGTAGGTCCAAGCAATTCCATCAGCCCGATACAATTTTTCAGCCACCGCGAACGCGAACATCAACCAGCAGGGCACGACTCGTGCCTAGTCAGACTACATAACACCTCCAGCCAGAGATCCCTTCTGCCAGGAACCCATGTTTTTCAGTCCCCTTTGAGTACAGTATGTTCCATTCTCTCTGGATTTTCACAGCGGTAATCAATCAGCGACCGACAACCTCTTCACATTGCTACTCTAATCCGCCATGGCTGCCGCGAATGAGCAGCACAGCGTGCCTTGGCTTTGCGTGAGAACTCGCTCGCGTCATGTGATGTACTAACGAGGGGGTTGGAAGACACAAGACCCTGAAAGGAGTGCAGGTTGAAGCCACTTAGCGTAAGCGCCGCGTAGAGAGTGGTGCTCGGAGCGCCCCGTATAGCGAGCTTGTTCGCTCCCGTGCTGAGCAAGGAGCGGCGATTGCGGACGAGACAGATGTCGTCACTCGTAATGTCGGAGAACCCTGAACGAGTTTCGCCACGCAGTCATCGGGTAACACCGTGTCGCCACAGATGGCGGCTCCCCGCCTCGCCTAGCTTGCTCCTGCTCGGTCTCCTCCTCGCCCTTTCACTCGCGTCGATCACCGCAAATGCCTCCATAACTTCCGCCGCAAGTGTCGCGTCGACGGGTGAGATGGAAACAACTCTCCACAAAGTCATGGGCCCGTCGGGCCTTCCAAAGCCGACGCCGTCGGTGCCGTCGGTGCCGTTGAAACCGGGCCGAAGCGGGCAGATTTCAATGCTCACCGCAATTACCAGCTGCCCGGACGAAACGTTTTCCTGCTCCGCGCCCGTCACCGTTGTTTTGCCGAGCCCTGCCGCGAGCTGCCTCCGGATCCCACGGCCTAGCGCGAGTCGGTCGTTCAAGATCGATTGGCTGGGGGATGCGTCTGCTCTCGCTGCTGCTCTCGCGGCAGCGAGCAATGCGACGGATAAGATCGCTTCTGGCGGTACGGGCATTCCTGCTACAAGCACATCATCCGCTACAAGCACTCTTGCTACCACTATCAACGCTAGAGGCAATATGGAAGCGATTCAGGGTGGAGAACTGAGCGGCGAGCGCATTTACGCCTGCCGGACGTTAGTATTCTGGTCGTCTGTCAACTGCTCGTCGTTAGAGCCATCTTTCGCCGTCATGATGCCCAACTTTGAGAACCTAATCTATACCGCCCGTTCCTCCCCACATTGTTCATCCAACGGCTCATCTTCAAGTACTTCCGCAAATCCCGGATCAGGGGAATCGGCGGGGGAATCAGGGGGAATCGGCAGGGGGACGACGGGGGGATTTGCAGTGGGTTCGACCGGAGAATCCGCCACGAGTTCTACCAGCAAAGTGGCTCTCGACTCTCCTGGAAGCATAAGCGCTGCCGCGGACTCAGCGCCGCAACATGCGGCGGGCGCTGCGGGATCCAGGTTACGGGGGGAACGGGTAATGCACCCGATTACGCTGCCGGGAGAGGCGGCAGGCGCGCCGTTCGCCGCGCCGCAGAAGATGGAAATCAGATCGATTAGTTGCGAGGGAGCAGAGCCGTTCGATGCTGCTACACTCGCGCTGCTCTTATCCGCGCCTTGCGCTCCCGCTAGCACCGGATATGCCGCTTCTCCTTCAGGGAGTCCCGCGTCTGCGATTCCCGGCGCAAATTCCGGTAACACCACGGATATTTCTGCCACGTCATCGTCGACGTATTCGTCTTCTTACCCCGTCCCTGCGAACGCAACTGCCACGTCGGATTCCGGATCATCGTACAGCGTCACTTTGCTCGCGTTAGCAGTCGCCGCGGCGTCTGTGTGCGTGCTGGCGTTCGTCGGAGCCGCGTTTTACTTCGCTCCCGAGTTCGCCATCCGAACCGCGTCCGCCGCAACCGCCGCCGCGAGCGCCGCGTCTCTGACCGCGGAAATCGCCACGTCAACCGCGGGTCACGAGCGCGGGCGCGGAGATTCCCGCACTGACTCCTCCCCCTCCGCCCCGCTGCGCCCCTCCCCCGCCCCGTCATCCTCGTTTTTGGATTCTTCTTTATCGTCACTAGCCGCTGCCTCTTCCTCCTCCTCCTCTCCTTCATCTTCGTAGGGTTCCCGCTCCTCCCGCTCCCGTTCCCCTGGCGGGAACGTCGACGTCGCGGAGAGCAGGGGGCAGGGGGGAGGGAACAGGGCGGAAGGCAACAGAGGGAGCGCGCGGCAAGAGGAAGAGGGGAGGCGACAGGATGGTTAGTCCGAGTTGACAGTGAGATGAGGGGTTGATCTCAAAGTTCACGCCATGCCCCTCCCGACGTCATGCCCCTCCTGACGCCATGCGTGAGATGAGGATAACATGTGGTTGCGCCAACATGCCCCTCCCGGCGCCAATGCACCCGACCCCGTCTCCTCTACCCTGCTGCAGCAGCGCAACAGCGAGGTGATGGTGACAGGTAGTGAAGACATACCATGTTGGAGATTAGAAAGTGATGCGTCACCATGACATACCCATGCTCTGCCTTTTACTCCTAGCCCCAACTCATTCCTCCTCACTTCACGCAATCATTTATCCCATACCATCCTCATCCTTCCTCTGGGATGTGAATGCACCAGACAGAGCGAGGGTTGAGAGCGAGGGTGCACATCGAACCATGCCGGGGCAAGCCCCAATCCCGTTACTGACCTCGCGCCACTCCCCGCCACACCCTACACCCCACCCTCCTCGCCATCCATCCGTCTCCTCCTGGGCTCCGTGCGTCTGCTGCACCTACCGCGCGCGGAGTCCTCCGGTCTCGCCCTGGACCGGGGCCATGAGAGCGATGAGGAGCTGCGGCTCGTAGAGTCCCCCGCTGACCTGCTCTCCCACATGCTGCTTGAACTTGAGCGGGGCGGCACTGGTGGTAGTGGTGGTGGTGGTGGTGGTGGTGGTGGTGCTGCTGCTGCTGCTGCTGCTGCTGCTGCTGCTGCTGCTGCTGCTGCTGCTGCTGCTGCTGCTGCTGCTGCTGCTGCTGCTGCTGCTGCTGCTGCTGCTGCTGCTGCTGCTGCTGCTGCTGCTGCTGCTGCTGCTGCTGCTGCTGCTGCTGCTGGTGGTGGTGGTGGGGTGAGTGGGAAAGGTGGGGCGGGGAGGTGTGCGGCAGTGGGAGGGAAGGCACGGGTGGTGGGCACAAGGACGGGTATAAGAGCTCGGGGTACCAGCTACTGGCGAACATGTGGATCAGACAGGCTGCTGGCAGTGGCAGTGCTGCCTCCTCACATTCCTCTGCTGACATAAATGCATGGTAGCTGAACAGATGTAGAAGATTTGACACGGAGCGTGGTAGCATTGCTGTGGCGGTGTGGCGTGGGAGAGTGAGAGGCGCCTGTTGTCACACTCTGGCCTGTAGGTGTTGTGCAGATGAAGCATCCATCCAGAGTATTTGCAGGAAGATTACGGTAGGCAGAGTGCTTGTGTGATGACCACCTGTGCTGTTTAGGTCAGGGAAAATGGCTTGTTGTATCAACATCATTTGCAAACATAACGGTAAAGATTTGCATCAGAAACAGCCCAGCTTTTCTCAGCATTCATTTCTTGTGCATACGAATTACTTATATGTACACACGTTTACTTTCTTTATAAACTTATCGCTTTGATGTAGCACTTCAGCTGGTAACTTCTTCGTTCATAGTCGTCGTCACTTGCCTCACCTGCTCTTCCCCAATCTCGTGGCGCACAAAACGCCGTCCTATTCTGCTGCAGTGTTTTCGCGCGTCGTCCTGATCGCAGCCCCTGGCTCCACCACTCACATTGCGAGACCCGAATCGTCCTGCCCCGATGACGAACCGCGACGATGGCTGGACAGACTTACTTCCACCTAGCCTTCGCAACCATCGCAGTTGGTGTGTTTTCTCGCCGTTCGCATCGCAAATCATCGCAGCCACGCCATCCCACCACACAACGATACCCCGCCTCTTCGCCACCGGTCGCAAGCCACCTCTTTTGCTGCCCCTTCTTCTGCCTCGTCCCTGCCTTCAATCTACCATCGCATGCCTCCAGGCGAGTCTCTCGCTTGCTACAGAAAGAGTCGCCTGTACCTAAACCATTCTTCAAGTGTATCTCCCTTTGCACGATAGCCCCCTTTACCGCAATAGCGATCGCCATAGCCATTCCACAGCAAGCTAGCCAATCCACAGTGTCGCTGAGGCAAAGTTGAGATCTGTGCGACGAAGTGCTAGAATAATATATCGCAGAGTGTGTCTGAAATGCGGTAGGCCAAAGCAACTCCATCTGCCCGAGCCGAATTTTCAGCCACAAGCCGCGAACCTCAACAACCAGAGCACAAACTACATATCACCTTGACAGTTCCCTTCTGCCCGGAACCCACGTTGTTCAGTCCTTAGGTGCACTATTCCATTCACTATGGAGCTCCACCGTGTGCACTTGTATCTGCGACTCAACCTCCTCCAAGTCACTTGCGCCTCTAATCCGCCATGGCTACCGCAAACGAGCAGCATAGCACGTAGCTTCGTTTGAGAACTCGCTCGCCCCATGTACGGTAGTCGTAGCAGGGGGTTGGACGACACAAGACCCTGCAAGTACAGAGATAGCGGGGAAAATTGGGAAACCATTTTAGTGAAGACTTGCCAACCGTCGCGTGTGGTCGGAGTCGCACACCGTTGCGTGCTTCGCACATGGTCCACAAACAACTCAGCCTTTTAAAGACCGACTACCGCTTAGCGTAAGCGCCACTTAGAGCCCGGAGCTCCGAGCGCCCTGAGGAGCGAGGTTGTTCGCCCCCGTGTTGTAGCATGAGCGGCAATTCCGGAGCACCGATAGCGTTTATACCAATATCTTCATACATGATGTCGCAGAGCCATCAACGATTTTCACTACGCCGTCACCGGGTAACACCGTGTCGCCACAGATGGCGGCTCTCCGCCTCACCTAGCTTCCTCCTCCTTGGTCTCCTCCTCTCCCTTTCACTCGCGTCGATCACCGCAACCGCCGCCGTAACTTCCGCCGCAAGTGCCTCACCGCCGGGTGAGATAGAAGCAACTCTTCACAAAGTCACGGGATCGTCGGATCCTGCGCAGCCGCCGCCGTCAGTGCCGTCAAAACCGGGCCAAAGCGGGCAGATTTCAATGCTCACCGCAATTACCAGCTGCCCGGATGAAGCGTTTTCTTGCCCCGCGCCGGTCGCCGTGGTTTCGCCGAGCCCTGCCGCGAGTTGCCTCCGGATCCCACGACCTAGCGCGAGTCGGTCGTTCAGGATTGATTGGCTGGGGGATGCGTCTGCTGCGCTCGCTGCTGCTCTCGCAGCCGCCAATGCGACGGATAAGAGCACTTCTGCCGGTACCAGCACTCCCGCTACAAGTACCCCAGCTACAAGCAAGATGGAAGCGACTCAGGTTGGAGGATCAATTGGCGAGCGCATTTACATTTGCCAGTCGTTAGTCTTCTGGTCGTCCGTCAACTGCTCGCCGTTGGAACCGTCGTTCGCCATCGTCATGCCTACGTGGGATTATTTAATCTCCACCGTCCGATCCACCCCACACTGTTCATCCAACCGTTCATCCTCAATTGCTTCCCCAAATTCCGGATCGGCCGGAGAACCCGCCGCGAAACCATCCAGCAAGGTGGCCCTCGACTCACCTGGTAGCATCAGTGCTGCCGTAAACGCAGCGCCGCAACTCGCGGCGGACACTGCGGGATCCAAGTTACGGGGGGGGATGCGCACGATCAGGCTGCAGGGAGGAGCGATGGGTGCGCCGTTCGTCGCGCCGCAGAAGATGGGAGTAAGGTCGATTAGTTGCGAGGCAGCAGAGCCGTTCGATGGTGCTACGCTCGCGCTGCTCTTATCCTCCTCCGCGAATTGCACTCCCGCTAGCACCGGATCTGCCGCCCCTTCTTCAGGGAGCCCCGCGTCCGCGATTCCCGGCGCAGATTCTGGTAACACCACGGATATTTCTGCCACGTCATCGTCGAATGTCACGGCGACCACATATTCGTCTTCTTACCCCGTCCCTGCGAACGCAACTGCCACGTCGGATTCCGGATCGTCGGACAGCGTCACTTTATTCGCGTTAGCAGTCGCCGCGGTATTAGCGTCTGTGTGCGTGCTGGCGTTTGTCGGCGCCGCGTTCTATTTTGCTCCTGAGTCCGCTATCCGAACCGCGTCTGCCGCAGCCGCCGCCGCGAGTACCGCCGCTTCTCTCGCCGCGGAAATCGCCGCGTCAACCGCGAGGCACGAGCGCGGGCGCGGAGATTCCCGCTCCGATTCCTCCCCCTCCGCCCCCCTGCGCTCCTCCCGCGCGCCGTCATCCTCGTCTTCAGCCTCCTCGTTATCGTCGTTAGCCGCTTCCTCGTCCTCGTCTTCCTCTGGTTCCCCGTCCTCCAGCTCCCGTTCCCCTGGCGGAAATATTGGCGCGTCGGAAAGAAGGGGTAGCAGGCGGCGAGGGGAAGAGGGGAGGGGACGGGGCAGCGGAGGTTCGAAAGAAGCGGAACGAGGAGGAAATAGGGGGGAGGGCGGGAGAGAGAGGCGGAGACAAGGGCATAGGCAGGGGCAAGTAGGGAGGCGAGTGGGGAGTCATGGCGAGGTGGGGGAAGGCGGGAAAGGGGAAAGAAGAGGGACACGAGAGGTGGTGGGAAGAGGGGGAAGGGAGGAGGGGAGGTGTTGCGGGTGTGGGAAGAAGGAGCGGGCGGGTGGCCGGAAAGAGACAACAGGGACAAGAGGTGCTGATGGTGCTCTACCGGATGTGCTTGTACCGATTGTGACTCAAGGGAGGAACGGGCAGAGGGAAAACGAGGAGAGCCAGCCTGAAGCGGTCAGGGTTGGAGAGGGAGAGGCGAGAAGTGCAGCTGGAAGGAACGTCCAGGTTGGGGGTGTGATTGGGCAGGGAGAGAGAGAGGCAGGGAGAGGGATGGATAGGGAGGATGGGGCTGGGGAAGGGGGAGAGAGCAGAGATCAGGATTCACTTGTGTAGTGGGGTGGGTTGTTCGTTATAAGTCAGAAGGTATTCACTTGACTGGGTCTGCTTGGGAAATGGCCACCTCAGCTGACCCAGAAACCGTTTTTCTCTCATGATACAGGAGGGCTGGTAATAAGGATGACCTGTTTGGAAAGGCTGTGGGGCAGAGCTGTAGTGTGGACTGGGGTTTCTGGCAGGAGTGGTGTTTGGAAGGGAGAGGAGAGGACCTTTTTCGGGCACAGGCGTGGGACTGGCAAGCTTGCCTGAATTGGTATGGGGGAGGGAGGGTAATATCTGCGCCTTTTTTGGGCGGATAAGTGGGTTTGGAAAGTGTGCCTTTCTCGGGGAGTAGGGAAGTAGTGTGCCTTCCTCAGGCACACGTTACGAAACAAATGATTGCTGCGCGTATTTATTGAGCGATTGTGGTTTGGCTAGAATGTTTTTCTCGACATCCAGCTGCGGGCTGCCTGCCTGCCTGCTAAATTGCTTCAGTGTATGCTGCTGGGATTGTGGGGGGGCGGGGTGAACGGACACGTCACACGGGGCAGGCTGGTTCTGACTGTTGGAAACAATCGGTCCTAAGCGCCTCTGTCGTGTCGAAACACTAAGACACAAAAGAAACGAAGTATAACGAATCACCGGCGAGTCAACCCTCGGAGGTTGAAAGTAACTGTTGGAGGTTACGCGAAAGTCAAAGGTCAGCGACCAGGCCCTACGATATCAGGATTTTTTTTCCTGAAATTCCTGATTTTCAGGGATTTTTTTGTACCTACACTGATTTTTCAGTGTTGAGAATTTTGTGACACTGATTTTTCAGCCTTTATTTCATAGTTGACACTGATTTTTCAGTCTTTTATCGAAGTGTACACTGAATGCACATTCCGAATCCATCCTGTCAACCAACATTTTCTGATTTTTCACGTACGAGAACGTAAGAGATTGAAGGTTTAGTGGATCAACTGTCTCAGTGGTTTGTGATTTTCTACAGACGGATAAGGGCCCGGTTCGAATCCCTCCGCTGTCATGTTTCGTAAAGCCTACCCTTGTATACAAGGTTTTCATTTGCTTGAAAATTCAGGCTTTGTTTTTTAGGAACCCTGAAAATTCAGGGTTTTTTTTTTAGGAACACTGAAAATCAGGGTTTTGTTCACAGGGACCCTGATGCATCAACGTCCCTTAAAGTGAATCTGAGGGCCTGTCAGCGACCTTTGACCTGACAAAGTACAGCGCGACAGCAAGGACAAACAACTGACTCGGTATTGAGCAGTTGCACGAGTCGTCACTGTATCGAACCGCAACAGCAATAGTAAAACGGTTATTAACTGT